AATTGTGACATGAATTTTGAAACGAATACCGCTGCGTTGCCCGGACACTACGCGAATGTCATCGTTTAATAGACGCGCAGTGGCTTGCCAATCTCGCGATTAGATGGATCGCCTAGATTTCGGGGTGTCCTGCGATTCGAGGATTGACTCTCGCATCTAGTAGTCGTTATTTTTGTACGTTTTTTTTGTAATACAATGATCAGAATTTTCGCGTGCGTTTCGCAAGCATGGCCAAGTTGACTCCCCCCGTCTCGTGCGTGCAGGTTGTGTCTGGCCAATCAGTCTACATTTAAACGCAACCATACCATTTGAATGTGATTTGTGTAACGGTATGCCGTAACATTCAGACGATCCGTTTATAAACACTCTCCCGATTCATTCTATTCACCGTGTTCAACCTAGCCACGATGATTCGCTTGAACCATGCAATTGAGAAGAGGGTCGTTCGAAATCAGTGGGGGTACCTATAAATGGATCTCCCTGTATATTACGACAGAATGATGTTATGAACCTCAAGATATTATCAATACATCTTTAGGTTCATAATTGTGTGCACAATTATTTTTGCGTGTGGAGGCGGGGCGTGGGGAGAGTGGCCTCATCCAGCAGTGGATTGACAAGGGCATTGATACTTAAAACTTTCGTGACTGCAGGAATTCATATTCTTGGTTCCTTCGATAAAGTCTTTTTTATTTAATTTAATTTATTTTCATTTCTATTTTCTATCTACGTGACTTTACCGAAAGAACCAAGAATATGATAAGGGTATGTAAACAAAGTACCCATCTTGCAATATCCACATCGCCAACCTTGCCTGCCCACTGTAATCGCATGCAAATTGTGGTTCAGCGCAGGTATAAATTATTAATATCTCATCATTTTTATATTATTAATTTCTCGCTGAATTGTTTCCCGGAATCGCTGGTACACTCAGTGGGCATCGCGAAATCGTGGATGTGGTGTGCCGAGCGCGGAAAACTATTTCTGGGCAAGCTTGGAACGGACGCGGTGGAAATTAGATCGCTGGTTCAGTTGTTGGAGTATCGCGATTCCACTCGTTGAGTTTCGGGACATTAAATTCCTAGTAAGGGGTGTAATCAGCGCGTTCCTAAAAATCACTACCGCCATCTCACCCGTGTAGCCAGCGAAATAAGTACTGACACAGAGAATCACTGACCACAATGTATCACTTGATTAATTGTTTGTGTATACACTGTATATTAAAGCAAATCAGCAACACTTTCCTGTTAGCCTTTGCTATATCCATCCACGGCTTTCCTGTTATTCAAAAATGTGCTGGCCATCAATGTGTTCTCACATGTGTATGTTGTTTGTCACGTGACAATAAAACTGAATTTTTTTTTAGTCCACATTGATGGAATGTATCAAATAACACGAAGAACGAATAATATGGTTTTGTTTGTTTGTTTAAAAGCTGAGGCCATGAACTTGTGGCATTTCAAAACACGGTTTAATCACCGTTGGCCGAAACCCAGAATTTGAACCCAGGATCTCAGCGGTACCGGCTAAACTCTAAGGGGCGAGTGTAAATTATGGACATCTGTGAAAACCTACTGGACATCTGTAAAAAAAGAGATGTACGTATAGCTAATCGGACTCCTCCAATATAAATACATATTCGGATGGTGAAATTCCCGTCGTCACCCAGCCACCTCAATGACAAAACACTCCACGCTTTAAGGTAAGACAATTTTTTTCAATATAAATACTGAAAAATGAATCGGGGTTCCTATATCGAATTAACATTATTAATTTGATCACTCAACGAGCTAATCCGCTCCACTTTTTAGGTCATTCTATTCTTTTCTTGAGCGTAAGGGGCCGTCCATAAATGACGTCACGCACCTGGGGGGGGGGTCAGACATTTGTGACGATGGGTGACGAGGGGGGAGGGGGGGTTTGAGAAATGTGACGTCACATCTAGACAACACGTTCTACTTCATTAAATAGACTTTTTAATAAATGTTTTCTCCTACAACATCAGAGTGCAGCGGCACATTAAATACGCACTACAAGGACAATAATTTAAAGCGATTTGAAGCATGTTTTATTTTTTGGGGGGGGGGGGGCAGAGCTTTGTGACGTCATATTTGAGGGGGGGGGGCTGACTTTTTGTGACGCTGTGTGATGAGGAGGGGGGGGGTCAAAAATCGTCCAAAATCGTGTGACGTCATTTATGGACGGCCCCTAACGGCAGCAGCGTCATATACACGAGCTCGACGCCATTGTCGAGGTCTTCTGCTGCTGCTGTCCACGACGAGGGAGGGCTTCCGCAGAGAGAGATCTCGTGTCGTGTCGCTGCTCCTCCACCTGCTCTTCCGCTGTTGTAGAAGCGCAGGCCACTGTGGGTTAACGATACGGTCCACAGTTTGGGATGCATGGATAATGATGCGGATAGAATTTAAGAATGTTTTCCATTCTGCTTTACAATGTATTATTTATCAAAACGTATTGACCCACCGCTATGAATAGTATAAACTGTCCGGCCACCTCTCGTTATAAACAAGAACATTTGACTGCTATGAATTTTATATTTTAAATTTTGATTTAAAGCTTTCGTGACTGCAGTAATTCATATTCTTAGCTCTTTCGGTAAAGTCACGTTGAAGGGAAACAATATTATTTTATTGTTTCCCTTCAACGTGACTTTACCGAAAGAGCCAAGAATATGCTATGAATTTGTTTACTATTCACCAACACGTAAAAAAGAAATGACTATTGAATATAAAATTCATTAAAAGCGATGGGGATTAATTGTATCACCCCTGCAAGTCAATAACAGTGGTGTTTTTCGAACGAGAATAACTGATCCCGACCATAATAATGTGGAATGGTGACATCTAATCCGGACACGTTCATGCACACCCTGCGTATGCGACACGGACGACAAAGATCCCCCGTGTAGCCTATACGGACTTATGGGGCAAGTGCTGTGAGTGAGCACTTATGAAGGCGGGCACAGTACTTGAACGGGGGTGGGTGGCTAACACCACGCCCGACCGCTTTTGTCTCCCCCAGTGACGACCTTTACACACCACACCAGATACTCGAGGCTGGTGTTGGCCGCGAGCGGGATATCGAACTCGGGGCGCCGGGTGCGTCGTGCAGCACGCTAACCACTGCGCCACCGCTCCACACGCTATGCGCACACGCGCGCGCGGGCGACGTCACGACCCATTAATTCCACAACTCTGCAAAATGTCCTGCCGGCGACACCGATATCAACTGGAGCAGCGGGGGTGCCCTGATGTCAATTTTTGGGGGTTTTTTTCTCCACCACCACCTCCCCCCCCCGCTGATAGGCATCGAGAGGGCGGCTGTTACTTCCAAGTGGCGGCAACGGCGACGTCACCGCACCGAACGGGAACGTGAGCCGGCTCGATGACGGAGTTCAACGTCGAAAATAACGTCAACAGCGACCGTCAGGACAAGGGCAAAGGAGGCGCGAACGTTCAGAGATGGCGTGGGTGGGGGGGGGGGGGGCGATGGGCATTGGGAGAGGATGAGATGATTTTATTTTGGTTGGAGGATGTAAGGTCCATGCTATTGCTCGGCGTCGGTGCCGTTTTTAAATATTCGCGCGTAGCAAATTCTTGTTCGCCGTCATTTGAATGCCGGGGTGGCAATGGCCGTGTCATCGCATTGCCATGACCAACACGGCCACGGACGCCCCCCAACCCCCCATTAATCAAAGTAATTAATCGGCGATGCCACGTTGCACCAAGCAGTCAACTCATTAAACACTGGTCCTTAACATTTAAAACCTAAACGTGTCATTCTGGGCAAATGCCCCTTCTTCATAGCAGAGGCAAGCGAGAACATAAAATGAAGTTGGACGACACGGTAAACCATGGAGCCATTGATAACACATTTAAAACAAGTTTACGTGAGGTGTAGGATTTCGTCGTCTATACAAACCAACACTTGGGTTCTTTCAGTGAAGTCACGTAGACAAATATAATACATTTTATTTCTACCCGACTTTCCGAAAGAACCACATAGTATATTCTTAGTTCTTTCGGTAGTCACGTTGAAGGGAAACAAAACAATAAAATATATATATAACAATAAAAATTCTCACGACGTTTCGACCATAACACAAACGGCCGACACACCTGATGACGACCGTTTGTTATGGTCGAAACGTCGTGAGAATTTTTATCGTTTATATGTTTTATTATTTTATTGTTTCCCCTTCAACGTGACTTCACCGAAAGAACTAAGAATATGAATTACTGCAGTCACGAAAGCTTTTAATCAAAATTACCACAGTAATTATTGCTGTCACGAAAGCAAGTTTATACAAACCATGTTGGTTTTGGGCCACGTGGTAGTTCTAAATTTGTCAACTCTGCACCTGACACGAGTCCCAGACCACGTATCCTTCACATCTGGGACCAATAACGCACCTCAGTGGTCCAAGGCTTTTCACGGCCAAATTAAATGTTGTCATTTCTGGAGAATTGCTTTGAATTTCATTCAGGTAGCACAACACGTCATCTTACTGTGCCCAGGTATTGGTTGCGAGATCCCCAACCAAAATGTACTGGTCACGTGGAGGTCTACTGGTGGTTGCAGTCAGCGTTTATAAATCACTCGAATAAGGCGACATGGGTGTCAAGTGTCTCTTCGGTGTTGATGTTACACCACGTGCCATTTTACAAGTAGCCACTCCGATGTCGTTCTCAACGTCAGTTATCCGTTTTTAAAAATGGGATGACCACTTTATTTGGAGGAAGCTCAGTTGAAGTTAAATTGAAGTGCCAACGGAAGATGCATATGCAAGGTCGGGCAGTATGTTAGGCGTTCAAAGAGGCTATTAAGGCGATAGTACTCGTCCTCTTGATTAGAACCTAAAAATGCACTCGAGGGGAAAAAGGTATTGAATATTTACTTACTTTACCAGTTCAGTTATCTCACCGCAACCCACTGCCAGGAACCCCACGACTGACGCAGCACCACATGGTCACCAGACGGGATTAAGGTCCACAACATCTTTATTTCTCGCATCGGGTACAAGCCGTGATGCCAATCATGTTTGTTTCAAGTGCACGCCGCAGGTGGTGGCCGTGCCGCATTCGCCACCGCGACCATCGCCGCGTTCAGCTGCGCATGGCTGCTGCCCTCCATGTGCCCTGGTGGCCACGGCGGAGCAGCTTGGCCACCAACGCCACAGCGATGGAGAGGGCGAGGATGGAGCAGGCGGTAGCCACGAGCCCCACGAACCATGTGGGCCACACGCCACCTTCTGGGAGAGGAGAAAACAAAGCACCCGGTACACCACATCGAGAATGCGGCTCGCTTTCACCATTGATGCAGGGTCAAAAAATATTAAAGGAGAAATAAACCATTGGAAATACGGTACAACCCTTTCTCTCCCCCCCCCCACCCCCACGATAAAAATAAACGGGTTGAGACCCATTAAAAAAACCGCTGCCACCCAAAAAGCACCACTTCATTTTAGCAGCTTTACGGTAGAGAATCACACCCGTGGCAAATCCTAGGGTAGCAGACGCACCTGCAGAGACTGACAGACTAGACTTTGTGTGAACGTCATCCGAGAACATAATGGGGCCGGCCAGGCTGGCAATGTGCGTCAGTTCGTCCGTGGCAGCACGTGTCCCATCTTCACCTGGGGAGAAGTTGGGGAAAATAAGTACAATAGTTAAAGTTCCCAATACACCACCCTCTTGGCAACATTGGAGTATCCTTTAAAATGTGGCACTAGAATGTTCGTGTAAACAAGGCATTAGAATTCGATATTTTGGTAATGACAGCTTACCTGGGGTCAATAAGGATTTAGTTTGCAGAGATTTAGTTGCAGCACCCGTGACGAATTTGGGTCCGTGGGCGAAAGTGGCAAGGGTACATCAGCACATTTTATAAAGCGCAATGATAATTTACCAGGCTTCTGAAAACTCACCGTGGATCAAGGCCCCTGCCTAGGGATGCTTCCGCAAGAACTCGGCTTTTGGGTTCAATCTAACTTTGAGATGGTTTGTGCAAATAATTTGGCACAGCACTTGCATTGGCTGCTGCAGAGCAGTTGAAAAATTGCAAGGTGTGGATAAATGGGGGGGGGGGGGGGGGGGTGGGGGGCGTCGTAAAAAGAAGAAACGTTTCACTGCCGAGGGTAACTTACGGGCACGTCGCGTCGACGGGGAGCAGCTGCTAGGTCCGCACTGCGGCAAATCGGCCGAGTTGGAGTCGCACACCGTGGCACTGCAGTGGAAGTAGAGCTGAGGAGCGACAATGAGGATAAACGATGCACATGCAGGACTAAAGTTGGTTGGCAGTATGCAAGTCAACACTGCTGTTCCTAAAAAAGGAGTTAAAATTCGGAAAGGTCCTCGTGCCAACTTGGGTATAGGTACGGGGCGACCCTTCAGTGTGATAAGTTCTGTCGGGCAAGTCCCATAAAAAACTACAACTCCATGTTAAAGTTGATTTATATTGGATCCCCTTTGCGAGTTGGTGCCCCCCCTCCCCCCTAATCCCGTTAGGAGGGCACTACCATTAGGAGTGGCGTGCATCAAGGGCCGTACCGTATCGCGCAGGGCTCCAAGCGGCGCTGGGTCAGCGAACACGAACGTCTTCACCTCGAAGCGCTTGAACCTCAGGTGCAGTGGCACCGAGGCGGGGCTCACGGTGTGGATGGTGCTCAGGTAGTTGTCGCCGGAGAACGGGCACCTACCCAGCGGCCAGAGGAGAGGCACTCAGCCAGAGGGACACGCGTGGGGCATTGAAAAAACAGGGACCAAGACGCGATGGATGTATTTCGAGCACGATGTTATCTCGAATAGAATACATTTCGAGCGTCTGAACGCACCAATATGCCACGCAGTCGTTTAAGCCACTGGCAGATTAAACCCTCCTGTTGGACATTGAATGTTTCCCTGTCCATATTTCACTGGTCAGTGCATATGGTGAAAGCAGAGGGACCAGGTTCAGATGGCGCGACACATTCCGCATTAGATTTTACAGCAGCAACAGGCGCATGCTAGAGATACTCTACGCATTGTGGACGAGCGCAGCAATAGCACACGTGGCAAGCCGCACAGCAGCAGTAGCCGCCAGCGTTCACAAGGGGGCGCACCCGGACACGAGGAGGTCCCACTGGGGCAGGGAGTTGGGGTCGGGCTGAGACGTGGCCCAGCAGTCGGCGAGACGCAGCTCCAGCACGGGGTCGGGGTGCGCCAGTAGCTGCACCTGCACGCGGCCAGGTCCACAGCCCGGGTGGAGACAGTTGCATTGCGGGTCAAGAGGGGCCAAGACTCCTGCAGCCATCGTTGAGATGGTGGCCTTGTGGGTCCGTGTGTAGAGTGCTCTTCGGGCTAAGGCAGGTCACCAGTTATGCCGCAAATTTCACTTTTGGTAACGTGTTAACTTTATAAACGTTTCAGGTCAAACTAACCTTTAACTGTATGGAGGACATATGTAACCGTTGTAAGGGCCATGGTATAAAGGGTTAAGGAAGTGGCCATTCCAACGGGTTGTACTGCTCGTTGGATGGGGTCATGTGAAAAGGTGCCATGCAAATAAACTTTGAGACCATGAAGTGGATTAATAGGCCAGGACGTATTAACACAAGTGGCAATATAATAACCTATTACGTAGCATTAGCAGTTCCAAACAAGAATTTTGGGTTCCATGCATCACGATTGAGTTCTTTGGGGGGGGGGGGGGGGGGGGGGGGGGGGTCATTACCTGGATGAACAGCGGCTCCCTGAGGAAGCGCACAAGCGGGTAGTCAGCGGTGACATAGGGAGCGATGTAGTCAACATCTGGGAGGGGAAAGAAAAGTTAAAACCGCATCGAATTTGTCCACGCAGCAATCTCAAAACGTTATGGTAGTTGCTTGAACCGATGCCCGAAAATTGGTTAAGAAAGCTAATTTTTTAAGATTTCAAATCTATCAGCACAAGCTGCCCATGTACCTAGACTGTTCTATGGAATGGTGCACAGTAAACTAAGGCTGTGACCGTGGTGGTTACTCCGATACATGCCTCATTATTGCCTAGACCTTGCTGTAGATGGGGGGGGGGGGGGGGGGGGGGAAGATGCCATCGAACGAACGTGGAGCGAGTGCTCACCAGGAAACATGGTGAGCTCGATAACCAGGGGCCCGGCGCCGTTCGCAGGGCTGGGTGGAGACAGCGTGGGAACGGTCACGCCCAGCATCAGCAAGTCGTCCCCGGAGAACTCGCAGGTGATCTTCATTCTGGCAGGGAGCAGAATGTGGCAAAGTTTGGTTTGACGCAGATTATTTATCCAAGTCTCGCGTGGACGCGTTTACGAGGGGGCAATCACACGCGTAGCCGTCTGCCAAAATGGTTCAATAAACAAACATTTTTCAAATGTGCAGACAGGCATTGGTGTTTGTCCAGTTGCATTTCCGCCACCATCAGTGCAGCTCACAGCCTCCGTCGTGGGTAGAGCTGCCACCACGTGGTTTCTAGCAGCGTGCGGCGGGCACCTGTACTCGCTGCTGCGGGAGATGATCACGTGGATGGAGTCGCGCATCAGAGACACGGCCTCGTTCTCGTACACCAGCTTGCCGTCCACCATCTGGAAAACCGCATGTGCACTGCCCTGTAAAACACACTTGCTGTACGGCTTCTTGCAGTTAAGCGCCCTGCATGTACGAGTTACGACGACTTGCGTCATCCAAATGTCACATGGAGTGGTTAAACAAGCTCGCCTGGTAAAATGGCATCTGTAGCTGCCACCTCATAACCACAAGGGGGAGTGAATGGCGAGCCAATGTTCAGAGCAGTTTGCAAAAATAAAACTACACCCAACTGCATCATACGGTTCCATAATTTAGCTACGAAGTCTAGTACGACAGCCGTTTGTACGAGAAAGACTGCCACTCCTACCAATATCCGTCAAAGAGTGCACCAGTTACAAAGCACAGAAAGTGTTAAACAGACACCGCGCGCCCCCACCTGCTGAGTGGTGCCGCACGCGTCCAGGGGGACGACGAACACGGCCTTCTCTGCGGTCACCACGACGGGCAGGCAGGAGGGGTCACGCACGTGCACGGTGGCCAGCTCCAGCGGGGGCCGCGTGCTGCTCGCGTAGACCTCGAACGTCATCTGCCCGTCCGTAGAGCACTCTGCCACCACGGAGACCACAGAAGCAGGAGGCAGTGGGGGTCCAGGATGAGAAATCGCACACGTGGGCCGAAATCTTTACGTTTCGATTGACTCGGTCTTGACCCAACTGGTTCAGTAAAAACGAGCAGAGCTTTCTTTCCACTGCTGTCCACAAGAGGACGTCTCACAAGTTCCAAAAGTGGAGGGCAGAGCTTCAAATCATTCTGCAATTCGGCGCACGCAGACAGCGCTCATGCGCGTTCTCTGGGGAACGCCGGACGCGACTTGCCTGCGGTGTTGGTGGTGCACACCAGGGTGTACTCCTCCACGGCTCCAAGGGAGTTACTCAGCGTGAGCAGTAGCGACCTCTCCGTCGAGCCGTCCGGCAGAGTCTGTGATGTCAATTCCAGGACGATTAATGGAATTGTTAAACAAATACAAGTTAAAGGGCTTAGATGCTCAGTTTGTACATGGTTAAGCTTGGAGTTGCTACAGGTGGTGCTGCAAGGTTTTGCCAAGTTTGGACGAAGCAAATATAGGTAACGGATCAAAAAGTTCAGGTCAACAAGGTTAAGAAAATCCATTTTAAAAGAAAATTGGACCAAGAAAAAAGTTGCTCTGCACGAGTGAAGTTTTAAAGGTCGTGTTTTTAACTGTCGTGCGTGAATAAAGAAGACGACAACGGCCAGCCTGGTAGACAAACTCAGAGCAGAGACTTAAAAGCGAAGTGAGAGAGAATAGTGGCCATGGTAGGCAGTAGCAACAGAAAAGTAGATGGCAATTGACTGCCGGCGGATGAGCGTCGATCAAGCGTTTGACCGCTTCCGTTATAGGAGATGCCATGTGGGCACACGTCAATGAAGGTGGCGGGGCTGGGTCATGTCAGAAGTCACCTTGACCACCACGTAGAGCGCCGTGAAGTCCACCTGCAGGCGCAGCTCCGAGGTGGAGTTGGTCAGGCTGTAGCCCTGGTCGAGCAGGTCCGACACGTGAACTCCCGACACGAACAGCGTGAAGTCTCGCACCTCGGCGAGCTGCAGCGTGACGGCGAACCACGACGGCCCGCACGACACCACGCCAGATGCTGATGCACGCGACACGTACACAGGTTGCATAGTCAGCGAGGTGTGAAAAGAACGGGCTTTCCTTGAACCAAATGTCCAGAGGTACACAACCAGACAAATCCTCACCTGGGAGAATGAAACGCCTAAGGCGTGTAAGACATGAACCGTGTGCATTGGGGAAAACGTAGAAACAAAAATCCCAAAAAACGTGCATGTTGCAGACTTAAAAAAGGTGACCATCGACCATATTAGACAGCACGTGTCGAGGACTCACGCGTGTAGGGCATGTGGCACGATGCCTCCACGCTGTAGTCGTGGCGGATCCCCAAGCCGTCAACCACCACGGTGCGGAACAGCGCAGAGTAGAGGCGGCGGCCGGGTTCCTGAGACTGCCAGTGCCACACCACAATGGAAGAGAGCGAAAGAGGCGAATTCAGAAAGTTAAACAAATATTCTCCATGCAGCCTAGAGCAGTGTTTGTGCTTTTCTGCAGCCTGCACCAACCCCACTTTGGTTCTCAGAAGGGGGTACACGGATTACCCTAGAATGTGCATGCACTCCAGGTTAAGAACCACTTTGCCTAGAGGCTGTTGATAGAGAGTGGACGTGTCGGCCGAGGCACGCATGAACTTTTGCTGCACCGTACGCAGCTAGCCGTGCCAAAATCCGGGCGAGCACAGTGCCACGCACCTGCACTACAACGCCAGGCGCAGTGCGGTAGGCAGACACGGTGAGGTAGTAGGAGCCGTTGGGCATCAGATCGACGCTGTAGCGGTAGAGAGCGGGATCCAGGGTGGTGGAGTCCAGCAGGGACACGGTCCCGACGGTCAGCACCGCGATGGTCGGCGGGGGGCCGTACAGGGGCCCGAATACGGCGAGCAAGAAGCTGCCGTTGCAGACGGCTGCGCGCAGAAAAGCTGGTCACACCGGGAAGCCTCCAACCCTCCCGCAAGTTATGAGATACAATTGGTGCTAGTGCTGTTAGAACAGGATCTATAACAAAAAACCGGGGGAGAAGACAACCGACCCAGGTTAGGAACCATGAAGATTTGGAAACAGAACGATGTATTTTATATTAGGGAAATTGTGATACAAGGCCAGTTAAAATTCCAGACATACCCTGGCACTGCCAACTTTGCGACTTTGGTATCGAACGGTACGGTGTATTGTACATGGTTAAAAGCACAGGATGTACCAATCTCCGTCTAACCAACATTAATACAATTGGGAGATGGATCTTGGTCAATATTCAGTTACAGAATTTAGTGTAATGGGCATGTTTAGTCATTGGTGACCAGGCTGAGACCAAAAATTCACGCCACTTGGCAATCCACCAATAAAACAACTCAAATGCCACCCTGGCACGTGACCATCAGGGACAATCACCAAGGGTACTCACATCTGGCTTCAAAAACCTCAGCTCTGGGTGCCTACCGGCGAAATTCACTCACCGCTGATGTCGTCCTGCACGGCGACACACGGACAGCGCAGCAGCAGTGGGAAGTTAAGTGGCCGCGAGGCGTGTGTGAAGGTCATGAACATGTTGGCGAAGTGACGCACGCCGCTCGACTGGCCCATGGGACACGCCTGGTCCAGGCGAGGGAAGGAGCAGCCGCAAGGGAGGGAATGGGGAGGCAGGCAGTGCACCACCAATGAGCACACCACTGGCCATGTCTGTCGCCATGGTGCGGCGTTTATTTGGAGATAAAAATGTGCATTAGGGATTTCATTTATAAAAAAAGGTGTAGGGTGGACCCTACGGGAACAGCCCAGGACTAGTTCAGATACTTGCGTCATATTAGCTATGGCTGGGAATGAAATTGCAGGTAGCCTGGTCTACCCACTACCGCGCATGAGTTCAGCCCCCCCCCCATCCCTCCACACAAGAGCCCACCGCTCCTGCACCTCCTCCCTCACCTCCACGCTGACGAGCGGCGACGTGCGACGCAGCGAGAGCACGAACCCCCAGAGGCCGCCGCTGTTCTCCAGCCGCACCTCGACCCCCGGCACGGAGGACAGGCCCGGGTACACAGGGGTGGTGCCCACCTTCACCGCATTCAGGGGGCCGGGCAGTGGCGGCACCGTCACCACCAGGCTCGTGTCGTTGCACTGCAGGTAGCCTGGACAGGTGGCGATAGCACGGGCAAAGAGTTAGTGTTATGTAAATGTATTGAGATGTTACAAAGCAGCACAACCGTAAAATGTGTGACGATAACAGTGAATGGGATCAGATGGCAGTGTCGCAGCAGAAACGGGAAAGCGACCCAATGGCTTAAAATCGGAGTAGTGTCCCAGCCTCTGGAAACGTTTGGGTCAATTAAAATCGTTTAAAATTCTGCTTAGGTGCAGAAAAAGCGGATTGAAAGTTTCGGCTGCACAAAGAATCGACACGTCTGCACCGCTTCAAGGTCGCTTTTCAGCCACGTTCATTCATGCCCCACATCACCACTAGGACACGCAAGCATGGGGCCCTCACTTGGCACCAGGCACAGCATGGGCGTGAGGAAGTAGATGACCGTGGTGGTGGGGCCATAGCGCATCCGCAGGTCCAGGAAGTAGAGGGACGTGTTGTCCAACTGCACACACGGAGGCCACGCCAATGACTGCACCACTACCTCGCGACGCACGGGAGACCGCAACGCCACAACGTTACGATGCTCGCGATGCAGATCACAGCAAATTGTGCACGTTCAAGAGCAAACTTAGGCAAAACCTTGCAAAGCCTGAAGCAGGGTCCGAAATAAAGGCAGTCTCACCCAAATCCCAGACACTGCCTGGTCCGTGTCTCTGGAGACACGAGGTCACGAGAGGGCAAGGGTGGACTCACCTGGGAGTAGAACACCCCGCTTGCCGTGTACAGCGCCGCTACCGACAGGGTCAGCTGCTGAGACTCAAACGTGTAGCCGGCCTGGCTCGCATCTGCCACGGGAATGCTCCACTGCGCTGTGCCGTTGTCAATGTCCAGGTACCACGACATGGGCTCTTTGGCGTGCAGCTGTGTGGGAATGGGGAAAGCGAGGTGGGTATGCATGACAAACTTATTTCGCAGCATACACAACCAACCATGATAAAATTGTAGAGTCGGTGGCTTATATATAGGCTTGAGGGATAGGGTTTAGGTCCCAGACTCAACATCTATAACCAATAACCCTTTGGAGATGGCCACTCCTTTTGTGAATAAGCTCCGTGGGTCCAAGCAGAGTTGGGACGATCTTCTTACCAAACCAAGTTGCTTTAAGATTTCAAAAGTCTCAACCAACGTCGTAAATTTCTGCCCCCCCCCCCCCCCCAAAAAAAAAACCTTGCCTCCAAAAGACCGCCAACACAAGCCACCTAGCGAGACAACGAATGTCAACGACGTGATTAAGCACTACCCACCATCCTCCATCCAGATCGACTTCAAGCTTAACACCCGCCCCTCCCCCCCCCCCCCCCATCTTAGCGTCAGATTAGTAGACACACTGAACCGACGATTAGTACAGTAAAAAGACAACTCAAACTGATACTCCAGCTATTAGTCCGGAGCAGATGGGTTGAACTTTAACTCGGGGGGCCCTATTAAGAGGAAAGATGGGCCGAGAGAGATTCATGCCACACGGCGCGCTCTACAGCGCGACCTGTGCGCAGTGTTTTAACCAGTCGACGATGTCAATAGTTCAGTGAAGGTGCGTTTAGTTACCACACCGAGAGCAGAGAAGTCTGGTAGAATCCTCGAAACTGCCACCTTAAAAAAAAAGGCATACAAAACTGTTAAAGGCCACCACCATTCGTTTGTGCTTGCTAACAGCATGGCATCACTATGGCGCTTGCTACTGCACACCCACACCGTCTCCACAAAAAAGGCACTATTAAACCCAAGACTCGAGGAGCGATGGGGACTAGAACATTGAAAAGGACTATAGGAGATTTACATATTTTGCCGAGGTGAGCAATTAGAAATGCAAATAAAAAAAGCTAAAATTTAATTGCAGCAACCTCGAAATACTTTAAGCAAATGTGAATTTCACTTAGCGTAAGGGTAAAACAGTGAGAGTTTAAGTAAGTCAGTGGGATAAGTTGAATTTAGGAAAACGAATAAATACACCAACGCTGTCAGAACAGCAGTCTTGCCACAAGAAAATGCAACTTGTAAACATTCCCATTTAAGGCAGCCATAGGCTTCTGCAAGTGTACAATATTAGGATTGGTTGACAACAAGCAGTCCATCAGGACAATTATAAGGTCTCATTCTGGACAATTTAATTATTTCAAAGTTCCAAGAAAGCACCTCCGCAACTTTCAGTTCAATTGACGCTGGACCGTTATAGGACTTAGAGCTATTACATAAACGGCGTGCAGCATTAGCTGCCAAGCGGCACTTAAGAAGACGTCACCCTCGGTTTTAGAGTCCCCATTGGATCATCTTTACAAAGAGGTCAGAGCACGCGTGCCAATTCATTAAACAGTCGAGCATCGGCTGCCAAGCGCCATCTCTCAAGTAGAATAAGAAATCACCCTCATGGAGGCGCTGCTGCAGTTGACGGTGGTGAGACCCACGCCGTACGAGTACAGGAGCGCGTCTGGGTCTGTCGCGTCGCCAGAGCGATCCCAGCGCAGAGCTGGAAGAGCCGCAGATAGCGCACGAGGCTTCAGATCGTAGGGGACGGAGCAGCAGACAGCGATAGCGTTCCCCGGGTGGAGGGCACTACGCCATGGCACCGTGCACAAGTCCCTCGGTTAATTTGCTGCCGGGGATGAGCGACTATGTGTAGGTTGTTGGAGCATATTGCACCAAGCTAGATCTTGGCACGGTGATTGGGGGCGGGGTAAAACGTCTATAGTAGACATGGATTTTTTTAAAGAAATTCGATTTAAAAAAAAATGTTTGCACGGGATGTTTCCGTTCGAGGATCGGCAAAGTCATTTGTCACGAATTACCCAAGCATGTCAATAATTTTAAGAGCCGCAATACATGCCAATAAGGACCGTCGTTAATAAACAATGTTATTAAACAGCGTTACGAAGCAATCCTTAAGAGACACGTGCAGCTACAGAGCCGTAGGCCCCCCCTGGTATCAAGTAAATAATTCGCCCGTGATAATTACGGTACCACAAATGGTAATATTTCAGGTTCTCATTCGCGGTGCGGAAAAACACGAAAATGCATCGCTAAACAAAATATTCGCATTACAAAAAGCAATGCCTGCGGCACGTGGCACAGCGAAGTACCGTACAATCACAGTCATCGCCGCGGTGCCCGCTGCAGAGTCGGTATACTCACAGACGTCGTGGGCGCGCGTGTGCTTGGAGTGTTCATAGCGGCCTTTGCCTGCTCCAGCTGCAGAGGAGCCCTCGGTCCATAGCAGGAGGCTGCGACCACAGTTAGTTCACTCGCATTGCGAAAGACAAGCCCCCCCCCCACCCCCCGCATTGGCGTAATAGACTGTTGGGGCAAGCGCTGCTAGAGCACCAAATGACAGGAGCGGCACACAAAAGGGGTGGGTGGCCAGCACAACGCCTGGCCGCCTTCGTCTCCCAGGTGGCAAGGTTTACACACCGCACCAAGTACTCAGAGAGATTGAGGCGACGTAAATAGAGCAGCTGTACAGCAGTGTGGAGTATGGCTCGGCGTAAAGCACGACCACGAGTATAAAAAGGCACATCTCGCCACACGAATACAATACGCCACTAGATTTCAATAAAATAATATCGACAGGCGAATTCATTTTACGAACGAGGCAAAACAAAAAGAAGAATCGGCGTTTACAACAATTGCCGGGGGAACAGGAACACCAAGGCGGGTCCGACTTTAACTCGGAAGCAGCTCATACCTGCACAGCGCAAGCAAAGCAGTCTTCATCGCGATCCCCATGTCGAGAGAGAGAGAGCTCCACAAAGCAGCCGCCGCCTCTCCTCTCTGCAGTTGTAGCCGCAACAGCTCAGGCGGCACCACGGACTACCGAGAGAGACGGACCTGAACAGGCAGGAACAACCACAGCAGTAGACCAGAGGGCCCACAACCCTGAGTGCGGGTGATACAGGAGACGAGGACGTGCCCCGCGGTTTAAGTAGCGAGAGGGGGCCGAGGCTATCACACGCCCACAACCACCCTTAATCGCAGAGCAATCTTCGTCCACGATGAGCTGATCATCTTAACGAGCGGCAACGCGTGCCGGCAATTGTGACGTCGACGTGCAGCAAGCGCTCCATTGACGGCAGCGTCTACCCCCCCTGCTATCCCATAATCACTCGATACGCGAGGCGTGTGTTTTCTTCCCATTTGCCAATTTGCCACCACCCGCTCGCGTTCAAATAGAGGCTTTGAATTGTATGTTGTTTAAACCAGGTGAAGACAACTCAAGAGACCGTGGAATAATAAAAATATGATTCGCAAAGCGTGACCTGGTTCTCCAAAATAACAAAGAGCGTAATTTATTTTGCATTTACGTTGAACTTGGTCCGTACGGTGCTAAAGAAGTTTAACATACATATAAGGTATGCTTTTGTTATTTTGGAGCACCAGGTCACGCTTGCAAATGATACTTTAATCTTGTAACGTAAAGACGGCCCACAGCTACGATGCAAACAGATAGTCGGAGCTAAGACAACACTGTCACTGAAAATTCAGGGTGCCGTGACAAAATGTATACCTCGGATTACAAAATGCGATGACAAACACCGCGAGAATTTCACATAAAAAAATATGAACGCATCTCAATTGCTCATTACAATTAGCGATCGTTGCAAACCACAGCACCCACTTTACAATGAGCTCGTTATTAATGAATCGATTAATCTGTAGATGGACACGCCTCTGCGCTGGAAAACGCGTGAGCGGGCGTTTGTGCCATCCGTCGATTCTACGACTCATTATGCTCGGAAAAATCTGACGCAGAATACAAATTTGTAAATCCGAACGAGACAAAGTCGATCCATTGGTTGTGGTGCAGGTGAACGCGCAGGTGATTGCGTGTCATTCGCGCAGGTGATTGCGTGTGATTCGCGCAGGTGACTGCGTGTGATTCGCGCAGGTGACTGCGTGTGATTCGCGCAGCCGCCCGCACGCGTTGCTGCTCAGGAGGTAATCAGCTCATCGCGCGTTTGCTGGCGTGGGATGGCTTCGCCCCCTCTCTCTACTTAAAGCTGGCCACGGCCACTGTGGGGCTTGTAACGCCTGCGCTCCCGACTGTGGGAATGCGGAATTAGTCGTTGTCCTTTGCCCGATCTCCGTTTGTCGCTCTCGGTTCCCTCGATTTTATGTTTTTGTGCAAGAGCAACTGGAGCAGGGCAGGGAGGCGAATCTGCTTTTGGAACTCTCGTAGCATGGCGAGGACCGTGATTCATGCTGCTGCGCTTGCGTTGTGCAGGTAATTGTTGGTGCTGGGTTTGAGCCGCAAGGGGAGGGCTATGCCCAGAAATGTATCCTGGGCTCGGTCACATCCCTCCTCGCTGTATTTGGGCATTTTATTTTAAACCTTGGATTGTAGAGGTAGTGTATGCATCGGTGTAGGATGGCTCTGGCTGGACGGGACTGTAATCTAGTGGTAGTGCTTTGCGCAGATTTTTTTTCCTCCCACCCCACCCACTAACAGCCAAGGTGCCAACTTTCTGATAAATGTCGATTTTTTTTTTTGGGGGGGGGGGGGGGGGGGACTTAAGCCGCGTATTTGCGTTCGTTACTTTATTGTGAACAGATTGTCTAGAATAGTATTATGGGTTGCCTAACAACCTGGCACGTATATGTTCACTTGGTGTAACCCCCCCCCCCCCCCCCCACCCTCTCGGCGATACATGAGTGCCTCTGCTGTACAGCTTCTCGATATGGGGGGGGGGGTGGTGCTTTTTGCTTGAACTGCCACTAAGCAAGTCGAGTGGTAACAGTTGACTTCACGGCAAGTGCTGGCGTCTTGGTGGACATGCTCAATACGTGACCCTAAAACCAGTCGGATCGTGCGTCTTGTAACCGGGTCTCCATCCCTTGCCTTGTGTGCGTCACCATGTGGTGGTCCACGTCTGTGCCACCCATGTGGTGGAGAGGCAATATGCTAGGGAACTGTTCACGTGACCTGTCTGGCATGAGCTGGTACGTGACCGCGCGTGTTACGCATCCGACTACTAGGGCGACAAAGGCGGCCGGGGCGTGGTGCTGGCCACCCACTCCATCGTGTACCGTGCCGGCCTTCATAGGTGCTACTCGCTAACAGCACTTGCCCCAACAGGGGGTGGGGGGGGTGGAATCTGTGTCTGTGTCATGAGGGTGAACTGCCTGTGGTCGCAGCCTCGTGCTGTGGACTTGCGACGTCTCTGCAGCGGAGGGAGTCGGAAGACGCCGCTACGAGCTATTCAAGCGCAGCCGTGAGTAACGCCCGACTCTGGGGCAGAGGGCACCGCTGCGATCGGCGTTGTTCGCCAACTACGCCGATCGACACCCAGGCGTTTGTTGAAGTTTGCGCGAACGGCACGACGTGCAATATTTATAATTGTGCATATTCATTCAGAATTGTTGTTACATTCGGGGACTTGTAATGGTATTATCCTTGTACTGTCTATATAGCGGCATCCCAGTGGCTGCATGGTGCACCTAAACCGCCTGCAAACATCGTTCACGAATTTATTTTTCAAGTAACTTGACCAACATGTTTGCTTGTGTAGACTTCCCCCCGCTCCCGCCAACGCCACAGCCCAGCGTGAAGTATGCTCCAACAAACCCTCGCACCTTTGTGCGGCGAGCATCCATCCAGTCCGTACGTCCATCCAGCAACGGATTAACAGTGGGGCTGTGCAGGCTGTGCCCTCCGCCACCCGGCACGCTGGCGGTGGCTGCTACTGCTGTTGCTGTGCCCACCGAATCGGGCCGTGCGTTTTTTTTATTTTATTTTTATTTTTTGTGGTTCTAGCTCCGCGCTGGGATCGCTCCGGCGCCTTTGACTCCGGCGCATTGTACCCAGACTCCCTCCTCTACTCGTACGGCGTGGGTCTCACCACTGTCGATTGCGGCAACGCCTCCATGACGGTGACTTCTTATTCGTCTTGAGTGGCACTTGGCAGCCGATTTGCTGAACTCCGTCTAATGCAGTAGCTCTTGCTGTAACTTATTGAAAGATGATCCAAAGTGACTTACTTGAACTGAGGTGTGATGTATTCTCGAGCCACGCTTCCCAGCAGATTTTGCTGAATGCCCGCTATGGAGTCGCTCCTTGCTCTGTAACGTGGAATCGGCTTGACTCTCGTGAAGATAATACCACGGATTTATTTTTACTTTATTATAAACTTGTGGTGATTTCAACTTGTAACGCACATTGGTTCCTACTCGGAGAACTCTTCGGAAGCTCTGAATCACGGACAAGCAACCAGGCGGACACGCGGTGAGACTGCTAGCAACTGGCCAAGCTCTGCGGTCCTCCTAATTTAGCCTATGTAATGTCTACATATGGGAGGAAACTGGTCGCACTATGCGAACAACTGTGCTGTTAGCAAGTGCCCAAGGTGGTAGAATTTTAATTTTACATGAGCGCCTTTTTTCACGTGTGGTGTTTTTTTATTTTTTTAAAGGTGACCGTGTCAAGGATTCTCCCACCCTTCTCTGCTAGCACGGTAACTGAGCCATCCTTGCCAATCCACTGGTTAACACATCGCGCACACGTCAATGTAGAGACTGCAAACTGTGAAATTACTTCTCGGCACATCCTTTGTTCCGGCTTCTTAACAAAGTACCACTTACTGTTTTTGTATAATGGTCCCAACGCAATCGACCACGTGAAATTTGTTTTAATTACAATTTGAAATGTACAGGTACTTAATGAACAATCGTACCAGCTTTGCTACAGACTCCAGAAAGCTCTGCCCCCTAAAATAAACTAAAAGGCGTTCTTTTAGGGCTCGTGTTTTTTACATTAAGGTGATGGGCCTGGGTTCTAACCCTGCCCCTCGGGCCACGAATGATACCTCCCCAATGTCCCTTTCCCCGTGCACGCACAGCTACACGACAAGCGACCCATGTCGTGGTACCTGGACATCGACAACGGCACGGCGCAGTGGAGCGTGCCCGTGGCGTATGCGAGCCAGGCCGGCTACGTGTTCGACTCCCAGGAGCTGACCCTGACGGTGACGGCGCTGTACAATGCAAGCGGGGTGTTCTACTCCCAGGTAAGTCCACCCTTGCCCTCTCGTGACCTCGGTCTCCAGAGACACGGAGCAGGCGGTGTTCACGGCTTTTGGGGTTCGCCTGTGGACTTGCGCAGTCCACTACTGCGCTCGGCCTGGGTCTGCGTAGGTCCTGGTTTTCCTGTTTGTTTAGGTTGGAATGTTGTGTGCTTTGTTAGACGCCCCCTTCCCTTCCAACTTGTGGTAAGCCCGGCTTTGTCAGGTTTTGCTGAAATATTCTCTTTTGTCGCACAACCGTCCTGCATCGAGCATGAGAATGGGTTGTGGTGGATGTGGCATTGCGTACAGTCTCCCGCACCAGTAGTCTCTGTTCATTAGATTACTTGGCTGCTATACATTTCCACGTGATAAGCGACTTCGTTGAGCTATAATTTGTGGCCAGGTCGCTTCTGAGTCTCTAACTTGATGGGCTTTACCTGGTAACATAAAAATTTCCCATACTTTGCACTAATTATTTTTTGTCTTGTTTGCAATGTGGTGACCTGTCCCAACTGGACATCTGAAAAGTACCTTTTTATAGCTCCCTCGAATTCCTCCATCAAAAAAAATCTGATTTTTCTGGTCGTCCCGTGGGCTGCAGTTGGACGACACTTCCCTCTACTTCCTGGACCTGCAACTGCGCTACGGCCCCAGCAACACCGTCGTCTCCTTGCTCACCCCCATGCTGTGTCTGGTGCCAAGTGAGGGGGGGGGGGACCCACACTCGCGTGCCTTTTATCACCTTCCGGGTGACGTTTCAAATGACGCGCCGCAAAAGATGCCGCGGAGATGAAAGGGTGGTGTAGTTGCGCTGCCACCCTCCATGCTGCCACTAACGCCTCAAATAAACCATCCTACGCTTAAGGACTTTAGAGACCATTGGTCGCTTCATTTTCACCCTGAGGGTAGCTCAATTGGCCATTCTCTTAATACAAAGTTGCATTGGGAGATCCAGATTGATGCTCCATCTAGAGCCACGACGCTGGAACAGTTGGCATAAAATGAAGAAACCCGAAATGGACGAAGGCCCCCCCCCAATTGACACCCCCCCCCCCCCACCCTTGCGTGTCGCTCGTGCTATCGCTACCTGTCCAGGCTACCTGCAGTGCAACGACACGAGCCTGGTGGTGACGGTGCCGCCGCTGCCCGGCCCCCTGGATGCGGTGAAGGTGGGCACCACCCCTGTGTACCCGGGCCCGTCCTCCGTGCCGGGGGTCGAGGTGCGGCTGGAGAACAGCGGCGGCCTCTGGGGGTTCGTGCTCTCGCTGCGTCGCACGTCGCCGCTCGTCGGCGTGGAGGTGAGGGAGGAGGTGCAGGAGCGGTGGGCTCTTGTGTGGGGGGATAAGGGGGGGTGGTGGGGACTGGACTCATGCGTGGTAGTGGTTGGTACACCAAGCTGCCTGCGGTTTCATTCCCAGCCATGGCTAATATTACCTGGCGAGTATCTGAACTGGTCCTGGGCCATTGACGTAGCGTTCGCCCTACACTTTAAATGAAATCCCTGATGTAAATGTGTTTTCAAATAAGCGCTGCACCATGGAGGTGGGACGGCTTGGTCAACTGAGCTAGCCAACCTCGGTCTCAATGCGCTTGCCAACAGTCGATGCTCTCGCAGTCTCAAACGCAGCAGGGGAAGTGCCCCTCCCATTGTGGGTATGCGCGACTGTCTGTCTGTGGGGCGCTGGGCTTGTCATATGTACGTCTGACGTTCTTTTGCACCGTACGTAGTCAACCGTTCTAATCGGCGGCGCCGTTGCCTGGTCTCTCCATTCCCTCCCTGCTGCCCGTTGGCTGCTTCACCCCCCCCCCCCAACCTATCGCTTGTCCAGCTGTGCCCCATGGGCCAGTGGAGCGGGGTGCGTCACTTCGCCAACATGTCCCTGACGTTCACGCACTCCTCTCGGTCCCTCGCCTTCCCGCTGCGGCTGCCCTGTCCGTGCGTCGCGCTGCAGGACGACGTCGGCGGTGAGTGTGAACCGACCGGTGAGCATCGCTGAGCAGCGGCTTGAGGGATTTGTGTGCAGCCAGGGGCATGTTGGGCACTCAAGGCCCCGGGTGTAGATGGTTTCCCTACGTAGTGTCCCTACTCGTGTTTTTGTTGAGTGCCTAGTGCGTGGCAGTTTTTTTGTCGTGATTTTTTAAATAAAAAAACCCTGGTGGTGGTTGCGTGACGGCCAAAATCTTAAATGATAAACCCATTAGATTTGAAGTTTTCGTGACTGCAGGAATTACTCTTTTTGGTTCTTTCGGTAAAGTTGCATAAAAAATGGATAAATTAATGTCTCTCAAATATATAGCAGTGTTTTTTTTTGGAAGAACGTAATCAACCAGGTAAGGTGTTTGACTGTAGTTTTGGCCAACTATTGGATTGTATTTGTAAGTTCACTACTGCTTGTGTTCTACCCAATGACGATTGCTTCTTGCAATCGAAACGTCGCATTCTATTTATTTTCTTTTTACGTGACTTTACCGAAAGAACCAAAGAATAATAAATCAATTGTTTACCTAGACTGCTGTGGACAGTAAATTACGTTTCGCTGCTTTGCTTCGGAAACTTTATGATTTACGGGATGTTGGTGCTGTACGGGAGTCTAGTTCCTGTGGTGATTACAATTGTTCCTCGAGTGATCCTTTTTCAAACAACTTTACGTATTTGTTTTCACTTCGTGTAAACTCTGGACATAACCGCTTGCCTGACTCCAAGGGTTGTTGATGGATGTCATGCCTTGAGTCTCCCGTGAGGTTGGGTTTGATTATTCCACTACACCGACGGTGTCCATTTTTTTTATTGTCTCGTGAAAGTTGGAACTTGTACTAGACCTCCCTAGAGGTCAACTCAACCCTAAATTGGTATCTCCTGATGCCTTGTTTGAGAAACTTGTGTAACGACCGAATTGTGAGGCACTTGCTCGCCCCAAGCCAATGTGCAGCCAAACTGTAATTGAAAAGTAGGCCAAGGCCTCGTATTCGGAAAAAGAAGCCTCTACGATGATTGGTCGGGAGGACAGGTTTTGAAGCAATTGGAATAAAATGTTTAAACGGGTGGGGGGAGGGGGGGGGAGGAAACGGTGGGAGCAAACAGGAGGACATCTCCACATCTGTCTGCCTGATGAAGCTAGTTGTAATTACTGGCGATACGTCTTACTCAGGTTCTAAATGTTGTGGCTTGCCCCTCTCCAGCACATTGTGCTGTACTCTTTGGTTTTATTCGGTAAACTCGCGTAGATAAAATAAAACAACTAAATAAAATAATTAAATCGCGCCGTTTCGGAGGCAACACAAGCTTCCGTCTTCAGGTGGAAAAGTCAACGCAGAATATCTGTTAGGAGCACAGTTCAGAGACGACCTTGGATTATATACAGGTTAAGGGGGGGTGGGAGGACTGGTCTAAGCAGCCCTCCCAACCACGCCCCCTTACCAACTCCTCCCCCCTCCCTTAACCTGTATATAATCCAAGGTCGTCTCTGAACTGTGCTCCTAACACAGATATTCTGCGTTGACTTTTCCACCTGAAGACGGAAGCTTGTGTTGCCTCAAACGTCGTGATTTAATTATTGTGTTTTTTTTATCTACGTGACTTTACCGAATAAAACCAAATAGTATGAATTCTTGCAGTCACGAAAGCTTCAAATCTAGAACATTGTGCTGTGTACTAGTGAAGAGGAGACTTGAACTAGTCAAGAAGGGTATTTATTCTCGATGCCAACTCGCACCACACCTCCACTTGCCATCCAAAGCCAACCCTCCAACTCCATTCCATTGAATAGCGCCCCTTCCCACCAATCACCACCTCGGGTTTTCCTGCTCTGTAATAATTATTCCCGATCAGTGTCCTCCACTCGTCGGACCGTCATGCACGACGGTGACCCCTGACCCTTAACCCGTGTTCGTGTGGCATGGTTGTCCCGAACATCCTCTACGCTAGCTACGAATTGGCATGTTCTGTTTACGTAACCGAACCTTACCAATTGGCATGTCGGGTGTTGGCTGGTTTAACGACTCGTATGGTTACGCGATCTAACAAAAACACACCTATGGTATTATGGAAGCCATGGAACACGCAGGTGAGGTTTGGGGGAGACGGACGGGGGGAACTAGCTGTGATTTATAAAAAAAACTGCGAGGGAAAGTTTGAGGAAAGGAGGGCTCTAAGGATTAGAAGGGGGAAGAGCAAAGCCTCGTGCTGTGTCCAAAGTAAAGAGGCTCCCTAGGACGTTGAAGTCGTCCATCCGTGTCATTTACAATTGCGCGGTTCTGTCCGTGCCTCGCATTGTCTTGCTGGCCTTGACGAGAGTGGCATCCCCTTAACCAAGCACTACCTCCAACAAATCTCCTGGGGTGTACGGTGTGACCTTTCCGTGCGCGCAGCCGTCTGCAACGGCAGCGTCTTGCTCGCCATATTCGGGCCCCTGTACGGCCCCCCGCCGACCATCGCGGTGCTGACCGTCGGGACCGTGTCCCTGCTGGCCGGCACCACCCTGGACCCCGCTCTCTACGGCTACAGCGTGACCCAGATGTCCAACGGGTCCTCCTACCTCACCATAACCGCCGACCGCACCGCACCCGGCGTCCTCGTCCAGGTTCGTAGCACGGAAAGTGCCCGCACATGGCACGCTGGCAGCAGTCCGCCGCCTGCCGGTATCTGCACTTTGCTGGCGTGGTGGTGGTGGTGGTGGTGGCAACCTCTGCAGGTATGGTGTTATGTGATGGGGTGGAGGGGGGCCTTTTTAAAGTGCATATCCGTGCCCTCCTGCCCTCGCCTGGTTTATGTGGTGGCGTAGTGATTGGTGCACTACACCTACAACAACGGCAGCCTGGCCCCACTGCTGTTTACTGGTGGTGACGATCTAACTTGTTTCTACCTCTCCCCAAGGCATCTCTGCTTTGCTAAAAACAAAATTTGGTACAGGCGTGAAATCTCGTCCTTGGGCATGTAGTGAATTGCATCACCGTCTTGTGCCATGTCGGCCTTCACATTGCCCCCAATTTCCTGTCTCGGCTGAGGAAGCCTTTTTGCATGCAATCGCATCCGCTTTAACGTTTTATCTACGTGCGTTTATAACATCTTGCGTGTGATGTCCGGCAATGGCAGTCTCAGGAACCCGGCCGCCGCCTCTACTCGGCGCTGTTCCACGCCGTGGTCATTGACGGCTTGGGAATCCGTCACGACTACACCGTGGAGACATCCTGCCACATGCCCTACACGCGTGAGTCTCGTCTCGTGTGTGTGTGTGTGTGCGCACGGTGTCCAACTACTCTTTCGAGCTGCACCATCCCCGCATCTCGCAGTTGGCGATGTAATGGTATGAAAAGTTCAGCAGCTTTCGTACACTGGTGTACGTGTGGGGATAAACTCTCCAATCTGCACAGTTCGTCTTTTAAGGCTTGGAATTTCTCTCTCTCTCTCGGTTGGAGTTTCTGGTTGTACCTCGTGGTGTTAAGTGCCATGTCGTCTGCCGTTTTTAGTACAGGGAAGGCTTTGCAGTTTGACTATTGGCTTGGACGAGCAGTAGCACACTGGCGACACGACCGTGTGTGTACGTGTCGCGTGCATCAGCATCCGGCGTGGTGTCGTGCGGGCCGTCGTGGTTCGCCGTCACGCTGCAGCTCGCCGAGGTGCGAGACTTCACGCTGTTCGTGTCGGAAGTTCGCGTGTCGGACCTGCTCGACCAGGGCTACAGCCTGACCAACTCCACCTCGGAGCTGCGCCTGCAGGTGGACTTCACGGCGCTCTACGTGGTGGTCAAGGTGACTTCTGACATGACCCATCCCCGCCACCTTCATTGACGTGTGCCCACATGGCATCTCCTATAACGGAAGCGGTCAAACGCTTGATCGGCACTCATCCGCCGGCAGTCAATTGCCATCTACTTTTCTGTTGCTACTGCCTACCATGGCCACTATTCTCTCTCACTTCGCTTTTAAGTCTCTGCTTTGAGTTTGTCTACCAGGCTGGCCGTTGTCGTCTATTCTTTATTCACGCACGACCGTTAAAAACACGACCTTTAAAACTTCACTCGTGCAGAGCAACTTTTTTCTTTTGGTCCAATTTTCTTTTAAAATGGATTTTCTTAACCTTGTTGACCTGAACTTTTTGATCTGTTAACTATATTTGCTTCGTCCAAACTTGGCAAAACCTTGCAGCACCACCTGTAGCAACTCCTCCACGCTTAACCATGCAAAATCTAAACCCTTAACTTTTAGTTGTTTAACAAGTCCATTAATCATCCTGGAATTGGCATCACAGACTCTGCCAGACGGCTCGACGGAGAGGTCGCTACTGCTCACGCTGAGCAACTCCCTTGGAGCCGTGGAGGAGTACACCCTGGTGTGCACCACCAACACCGCAGGCAAGTCGCGTCCAGCGTTCCCCAGAGAAAGCGCTGTCTGCGTGCGCCGAATTGCAGAATGATTTGAAGCTCTGCCCTCCACTTTTGGAACTTGTGAGACGTCCTCTTGTGGACAGCAGTGGAAAGAAAGCTCTGCTCGTTTTTACTGAACCAGTTGGGTCAAGACCGAGTCAATCGAAACGTAAAGATTTCGGCCCACGTGTGCGATTTCTCATCCTGGACCCCCACTGCCTCCTGCTTCTGTGGTCTCCGTGGTGGCAGAGTGCTCTACGGACGGGCAGATGACGTTCGAGGTCTACGCGAGCAGCACGCGGCCCCCGCTGGAGCTGGCCACCGTGCACGTGCGTGACCCCTCCTGCCTGCCCGTCGTGGTGACCGCAGAGAAGGCCGTGTTCGTCGTCCCCCTGGACGCGTGCGGCACCACTCAGCAGGTGGGGGCGCGCGGTGTCTGTTTAACACTTTCTGTGCTTTGTAACTGGTGCACTCTTTGACGGATATTGGTAGGAGTGGCAGTCTTTCTCGTACAAACGGCTGTCGTACTCGACTTCGTAGCTAAATTATGGAAACGTATGATGCAGTTGGGTGTAGTTTTATTTTTGCAAACTGCTCTGAACATTGGCTCGCCATTCACTCCCCCTTGTGGTTATGAGGTGGCAGCTACAGATGCCATTTTACCAGGCGAGCTTGTTTAACCACTCCATGTGACATTTGGATGACACAAGTCGTCGTAACTCGTACATGCAGGGCGCTTAACTGCAAGAAGCCGTACAGCAAGTGTGTTTTACAGGGCAGTGCACATGCGGTTTTCCAGATGGTGGACGGCAAGCTGGTGTACGAGAACGAGGCCGTGTCTCTGATGCGCGACTCCATCCACGTGATCATCTCCCGCAGCAGCGAGTACAGGTGCCCGCCGCACGCTGCTAGAAACCACGTGGTGGCAGCTCTACCCACGACGGAGGCTGTGAGCTGCACTGATGGTGGCGGAAATGCAACTGGACAAACACCAATGCCTGTCTGCACATTTGAAAAATGTTTATTTATTGAACCATTTTGGCAGACGGCTACGCGTGTGATTGCCCCCTCGTAAACGCGTCCACGCGAGACTTGGATAAATAATCTGCGTCAAACCAAACTTTGCCACATTCTGCTCCCTGCCAGAATGAAGATCACCTGCGAGTTCTCCGGGGACGACTTGCTGATGCTGGGCGTGACCGTTCCCACGCTGTCTCCACCCAGCCCTGCGAACGGCACCGGGCCCCTGGTTATCGAGCTCACCATGTTCCCTGGTGAGCGCTCACTCCACGTTCGTTCGATGGCATCTTTCCCCCCCCCCCCCATCTACAGCAGGGCCTAGGCAGTAATGAGGTATGTATCGGAGTGACCACTATGGTCACGGCCTTTGTTTACTGTGCACCATTCCATAGAACAGTCTAGGTACATGGGCAGCTTGTGCTGACGGATTATTTGAAATCTTGAAAAAAAATGTACAGCTTTTTCCTAACCAATTTTCAGGCATCGGTTCGAGCAACTACCATAACGTTTTGACATTGCTGCTTGGTTGGGCAAATTCGATGCGGTTTTTAACGTTTCCTTTCCCCACCCAGATGTTGACTACGTCGCACCCTATGTCGCCGCCGACTACCCGCTTGTGCGCTTCCTCAGGGAGCCGCTGTTCGTCCAGGTAATGACCCCCGCCTAAAGATCTTAATCGTAATGCCTTGCATGGAACCAAGGATGCTTCTTACATCAGTTAATACTGCGTTGTAGGATAATATATTGCCACTCGTGTGAACAATGCAATCTGCCCTATTGATCCATTTTATGGTCTCTTAACATTTGTTTTCGCCTGGCACCGAGTCGCATGACCCCATCCAGTGAGCAGTGCTGTTGGAATGGGCAGGACTTCTTTTTTTTAAACCCTTTAAGCTATGGGCATTTATTTACAACAGTCCCTTTATATCCTGCATGCAGTTGAAGTATAGCTTAGTCTGAAATGTGTTTTTTGAAAGTGATTAACACGTTCCCAAATGTAATTGAGTTTATGGCATAACTGGTGACCTGCCTTGGCCCCATGAGCGCTCTACACACGGACCCACAAGGCCACCATCTCAACGATGGCTGCAGGAGTCTTGGCCCCTCTTGACCCGCAATGCAACTGTCTCCACCCGGGCTGTGGACCTGGCCGCGTGCAGGTGCAGCTCCTGGCGCACCCCGACCCCGTGCTGGAGCTGCGTCTCGCCGACTGCTGGGCCACGTCTCAACCCGACCCCAACTCCCTGCCCCAGTGGGACCTCCTCGTGTCCGGGTGCGCCCCCCTTGTGAACGCTGGCGGCTACTGCTGCTGTGCGGCTTGCCACGTGTGCTATTGCTGCGCTCGTCCACAATGCGTAGAGTATCTCTAGCATGCGCCTGTTGCTGCTGTAAAATCTAATGCGGAATGTGTCGCGCCATCTGTACCTGGTCCTGGGCCCTCTGCTTTTACCATATGCACTAACCAGTGTGAAATGTGCAAGGAAGCATTCAATGTCCAACAGGAGGGTGTAATCTGGCAGTGGCTTAAACGACTGCGTGGCATATTGGTGCGTATAGACGCTCGAAATGTATTCTATTCGAGAGCATCGTGCTCGCAATACATCCATCGCGTCTTGGTCCCTGTTTTTTCAATGTCCCACGCGTGTCGCTCACTCTGGCTGAGTGCCTCTCCTCTGGCTGCTGGGTAGGTGCCCGTTCTCCGGCGACAACTACCTGAGCACCATCCACACCGTGAGCCCCGCCTCTGTGCCACTGCACCTGAGGTTCAAGCGCTTCGAGGTGAAGACGTTCGTGTTCGCTGACCCAGCGCCACTCGGAGCCCTTCGCGATACGGTACGGCCCTTGATGCACGCCACTCCTAATGGTAGTACCCTCCTAACGGGATTAGGGGGGGGGGGGCACCAATACTCGCAAAGACTATCCAATATAAATAAACTTTAACATGGAGTTGTAGTTTTTATGGGACTTGCCCGACAGAACTTATCACACTGAAGGGTCGCCCCGTATCTATACCCAAGTTGGCACGAGGACCTTTCCGAATTTTAACTCCCTTTTTTAGGAACGGCAGTGTTGACTTGCATACTGCCAACCAACTTTAGTCCTGCATGTGCATCGTTTATCCTCATTGTCGCTCCTCAGCTCTACTTCCACTGCAGTGCCACGGTGTGCGACTCCAACTCGGCCGATTTGCCGCAGTGCGGACCTAGCAGCTGCTCCCCGTCGACGCGACGTGCCCGTAAGTTACCCTCGGCCATGAAAACTATGCTTTTCCAATTCGCTGTACGTAGCCAACCGTGCTAATCGGTTTTGGGAAAAGGTCGACAAAGTAAATGCGAAGCAATTCTATTTGGGGGCGCTGTGGGACGTCTACAACCAGTTTTGAAATACTGAACCCAAAAGGATCTGGGACATTTGACCTTGAGCCACAAGTGTTTTTTGGCGTATGGTAAATTATCATTACGCATATATTTTAAAAGATGTGCACGTTTTGCACCCATGTAGCTTAAAAGTGTGGCCGAATTTCCTGCTGCAAATAACTCTTGCTGTACACGATTGACCTGTGCAAATTGAGACCCCAGGGCGTCTCTTACCTGAATTCAATGTATTATTTACACCAAAAATGAACATTCGATTAACTTTGTTTTTTTACACCGTGGCTTTTTAGGCAGAGACATCGACCAGGCTGTTGAAAACGGAATGACCCACGTTGTCAGCCTGGCTGGACCGATCGTTTTCACCACCGATGCCTCTAAATCGCGTCCATCAGTCTCTGCAGGTGCGTGTCTCGCCCATCTTGGTAAGGGCACGGACTATGTTTACTATAAATGGAAGTGCTTTTATTAAAAAAACCGCGGAAATTAGATTCCATTTCCAGTCTCCTTTTCAAACGTTTACACGAATTTGGCACGGTTTGTTCCATCATTGCATGCCCACTCACTTCAGCTCCAGCACTTCTGAACCCTCTCTCCCATTGTGGCATTCTCCTTATTCCTTAATTTTCCCAGGCCCTTTTCTCCCAGGTATGTTATCTATAGGCAGAGGTTGCCCTTATTGTGCAAATAAAAGGCTTTGGGTTTTAAGCTGTTCAATTGACATGTCACAAAATGAACCTTGTGACGGGACCCCAGGGTCCCATCAGCCCCCGGCTCTTGCACAAACTGCGTTGCGACGGCTTGTGTCTGAAGGCGACTGATACGGCAGTCTATTCCTTTGACCAGCTCCACACTGCGGCAATCCGTTTTTGTCTATGGCAATTTTGGCAACGACGGGTGCTTGGTGAAGAAAGGATTGATTTCTGGTGGGTCGCGGCGTTTGTGTGCAGTAGGACGGAGTCGCCTAAAAATGTAATTACGATTTTTAACTTCCGTTTATTTGACCCTGGGGTCCCACCATAAGGTTCAAATGTAGCCATTTACTCTAAATTGCCTTCTGCATGAATACACGCATCTTCTCCCCCACCTTGGGCACACTCTATGCTTGTTTGCATGGCAATGTTTAAAGTTTGACCTTCAATTTGGAACGCTTGTAAAATTTGGACTGCTGCCACAGATGCTGTGTAATTAGGATATTACCCCCTCCGTATTTGGTGCGCCTGCTAATTTTGAAGCTGGCTTTTGCTACAGGTGGCAAACGCCCTACCACGAAGTCATGCCACTGCAGTGATCTGCACGCAAGGGTGTAATTCCTCAGTCTCGTTAAGATCGCTGGGAGATCAGGTATTAGGCATGGGGGATTCGTAACCATGTGAGGTTGTACTAAATTTGTACCTGGTCCATTTTTTTGCCACCCCAACAGGTGGCGTGTGGGTCCCGGGGCTCTTGGCTGCCGCCTGCTCCGTCCTCGCCGTCTCTATCGCCGTCGCGTTGGTGGCCAAGCTGCTGTGCCGTGGCCACCAGGGCACGTGGAGGGAGGCCATGTGCGGCTGAACACGATGATCGTAGGCACCGCTGTGCGGTGTCTGCTGCTATGCTTGGCAAAAAAAATCCCTTGTGCGTTGCATGTTAAATAAATTCTGAGTGACAACAATCTGGTTTTGTTTTAAACACAAAGTGGTGCTGCTAACATGCCATGCAATGGACAAAGGCGTTAAGACTGACACTCCTTGGCTGTCGAGCCAGATTTGTCTGGAGGCCAGCAACCTATACCTATTCTGGCGTTGCTTTACAAATAGCCAATAGAAAACACAGGTCTGTGCTGGACACTTAAGTGGTCTATATTGCACCCTTGGATCTGCTCGATTCCATGTCATGCTGTGATGGCCTCGTTTGCCTTTTTACAGTTTAACAGACAACCATGCAATTACATTTCAATTTATTTTTGGAAAATGAGTACAACTCGTGCAATGTTTAGCTGCAAAAAAACTCCCCATACCTCCCCAAGAACCCTAGTGCACATAACACACCAAGTGTAGGCATTGGTATAACACCCGCAGTATCCAGCAGCCCAGAGTGATATTGGGTTCTTTTGGTACCCCCAAATTTATCCTGACATCGTATTTGTCAAGAGAAACTAGCTATTTGGACCTTTCACAGCAGTGCAACCCTTGGTTTGGAGGATGACCCATAGAAGTGATTATTATATAAATAATTGATCCCTTCCAAGTAAGCTGGGCCCACACGGGCTAATTTGCCACCGACTGATTTTAATGCAATGATATTACTTTTCAGACCACTCGCTGTCTTGGACCAAGGTTTTAATTGGTGGTGGTGGCAGCACGAGTTTTAAATGCAATGCTACCTTTTGTCTAGGGGCTAGGTAACAAGCTGCCCCACTAACAAATGTAATAGTTTGGATCTTTTCAAGAACCATTGCTATTTTGTTAGATACTTTAAATGGTTACAATGCAATAGGGTGCCAACTGCATGCAACATACTTGCCCATTGTAAACTTACTACTGGATGAACAGGGCTATTTTTAAGCATACTTTGCTGGTTGAGTTTCGTTGGAGATATCCAGGACTGCTTTTAACGTGCCACATTCCCAGCAATGGTGGACTAACTCCATGCCAGGTTCACAGCACAATGCATTTGCTGGAACAATTTGTTGCACACCTACCACCTGATGTGTGTTCAAGATAAATCGATGCATCCAAGTAATACACTTGTTTTACATAAGCTTTAAGATGGTAAATACAATATGGGAGGGAGGAAATTTGTAATAACTCAAACACGTATTTTTTTTTTAAATACACCAAATTTACAGGGAAACTAAGGAAAATATAACATTAACAAGCTGTGTGGAATATCTACCAAGTACAGTTACCTACTTTAATTTGAAAACAAAGTCAACATTTGGCATTTAAAAACATCCAACCACAGCTCTTAACAATACTTGCATGATTACCCTTTCATTATTTGTGACTAACAAAGCTTCTAATACCAGCCCATCTGTTCAGAACGTCTTCAAACCAAAAGTACAAGTGTTTAAATTGCAGGTAGATTTTACCTTTTAATTAAAAGTGAAGAAATATAGTTGAAAGATTAAGTGTCGAGTGGGTAACTAACAAAGGCACAATCTCCAAGGCTTGTCCTGTCCAGCCCACTAGGCCCTGTGACCACAACTTTATTTGGCAAAAAAACACCTAAAGCACTAGCTTTTTAAGGCCACTTGGCATGGAATTGGCCACTTCACAAGACAGAAGGAAGCAATTTTTTTTTTACATGCAACGCCTTCATAATACAAGGCTTCAGCAATTTGTTCTAAAAGTGAGATCGACCTGGGTCAGTGAGGGCCTGCATTCATGAGATGGGGCATGAGAGTTGTTCCACAGTACCACCAACCGTCATTTGCCACTAAGTTTCAGGCGAAATGCACTTTAATCCAGGTGCCATGGGTTGACTGGCCGATGCACCATCTGTGCCCCCTACTATGCTAACTGTTTTTTAGTCCCTCGTCTTGTGAGCACCACTCTGCCCTCCGTTGTTGCTGGAGGGCATCTGCCTTTAACTGCCCAGGAGCATCCTTCACCAGCCTCCACTAAAGTCTAACTTGACACTGCTGGTAACAGTTATTGGTAAGTCCAGAGTGTACCACACACTGATCAACCCACCACCAGATGCAATGGCTTCACTTTGGCAATCTCAAAAACCATGTCTTCAGCCACCCAGTGGCATACCGTGGGTGGTATGGGGACCTTGCATAAAGGAATGTAATGGGTGGTGCGGTACCCATCTAATTTCCCCTCTTCATTGCCTGGGATCTTCTGGCTCATAGGACCCCAGTGTAGTTGCACCACCTACATGCTGGATAGCTACACCATTGATTAATCAAAGGGCCCCCCCCACTGCCCCCCTTTTCATATAACTGTAGTCACGCAGGAGTAAAACCTTGTACAAATTAGTTCTGCAATGCAACATTTGAAAGCGATTTGCACTTTGCCAAAGGTAATTTTTCAGTTCACGTCACATAAGTAAATCTAGACATCACAATAGGGAAGCCATGAGAAAAAAGGGTAAACGTTCAGACTATTGGCAAGATGCTAACATGTAGAGTGGTGACCCACCTACCCACCCAGTGCTGTCTTGACACACCCATGTGTGTTGCAATGGCTGGGAGCACACGTGCTAGGGTTGCCACCTATGAAGTACAAAAAATCAGGGACATGGCAAAAAGAATACCTCAAGAGGGGAAAAACACTGTCTCACGTGGTGAATTGTTACGTAATTCACAAACGGAGCCTTTTATACCCCATTTCCACTGGCACATCCAAGCCATTGCAGTATGGGTGGTTTTCCATTGGCGATTTTGCCAGGCTGAGCCTGGAACCAAATGCTGAAAATCTGGCCTCAAGATGACAGCATCTGGCTTGGGGCCAAGCAGAGCCAGGGACGGGGCTAATGTGTTAACTGTGTGTGCCATTAATTGGTACACTTCGAGGACTGTGGCACAACATCACACATTGTGTGTTACGTCAGGAACACAGTTCTGCTTTTGCAGACTAAAAACAACCTGGAGCCTCCTGGGCCGCAATGGCCGGTCTCGTCAACACGGTGATGACACGACCCTGATGTGCCAGTGGAAAAGGGGTGTTTGTGTCCTGGGAAGATGTGCAGATTTCCCCAGGACAGACACCTTGTATAATGAGGACAATCTTGGGAAACCAGGATGGGTGGAGATCTAGGGGCAAGCACGGAAGGGGTGGCCGCGTCCCGGCCAATCCCCCAGCCTTAAAAGCCGACGCTGCCACGTGCCAGGCAGTAGCCAAGGCGGCTCTGGTTGTTGATGGTCGACATGAGGCCCACAACTGCCTCGATAAGCACCGGCTTTTCTAGCACGAGCACACCGTTGGCACGACCTGGGATGGGGTTGGCCGTGTGAGCTCGCTTGGTAGCCTCGATCAGCGCCTCGCGAAATTTCTCCAGCTGAGTGCGTGCGCCACGTGGGGAGTGCGATGCAGAGGGGGGACAAAAAACATGCAAGTGTGTAAGATCGCAGCTGTGGTCGGCACCAAGGAAGAATAATTCTGCATAGGTGTGGATTTTATGGAATACTTTCCCCAATATTCGTTTGTTCGCACAAGTATTTAATTAGCAACAGCCAGTGTTGGGGAGTTGTTGGAGCAAAATGCGTTTGCACATTTGTAAATTGTCCTTATTTTTCCTGGTTTCTGTCGTCAAGTTTTGGGCTAGACTTTGATTTTAAAGGGTATGCACCGAATAGCAACACAAACTTAACTTTAATTTATTTGTGATCTTTACCAGTTACCGTGACCACATGTTACATATACGGATGGATGGACATGGAGAGCTAATGCATTCATGCCATCTAGATGTGGAGGGCCTGCCAGTAAGTCATTATTTCAGTTCACCCTGCATTTTAAACATTATACCAGTGCAAAATCCTCTGATCATGTCAGTGTTTAGCCAAGCAACCTTTGTAATTTTCGATTCAAGTGGATACCACTTTTAAACTCTGCATGTTCGCTTTGTGACTGACATATCATCCGAGGAATTCCCTGCCAACATTTCAACCGTGCAGTTTGAACTGCTGGCTAATATTTGACAGCCTTTAAAATCATCCAGTACTTGTGTATATTAAACATAACACATGATTACACTGATGTCCTAGCCCTAGTTGTAGAATTAATATTCAACTTGCGTGTGTCTATGATGAGTGCTATCTATGAGCAAGGCCAGCTGTGCTCATATCCAAAGTGTGCTTTTAACAGAAGGTGCCCTTCACCCCACCTGTGTCACATACGGATGAGTTGCCGAGTTGCTAATATCAGAACTGTTGTGCTCGCATCCAGCTTCTACTGTATACAGATTAGTTTGCGACAAAACGGCTTCCGTTGATGCGCGATGGATGGCTTCCATGCCTCTCCTGAAATTTCTGATTTGGTCACGATGGTTCACTGCGGTGCGGTCGACGGTCTGGTCGGTGTCCCCGCAATCGCATTTCCGAGCTTTTCTGGACAGAACGCCTTCCATTGGGATCCTATGCGCAACCCGCGTCCGTCGTCAGCTGGACATTACCTGGCAGACGGGAGCCATGTTGGGATCAGCGTTGGCCATGATGTGGTGCGTGAAGGTTGTGTAGGGCAACTCCGTTGACCACGGGTTCCAGCGGGACAGGAAAGTCGGCTCGCGGAGCTTGTCCCAGTGCACACGTAATCCGTGGCCCTCTCGGCTATAATCGTGAGAGTAAAAGCACATACGCACACGTGTACGCAGATATATAAACACATACACACGCACATCAACTGCCATTCGCCACTAAATGGCTGTGACGTCACCATGCCATTGTTTTTGTCAGGGCAAAGGGTATTCTCTGGACACATGAAGTGTCATGGAAGTGCTGGTAGGAGGCCATAGGACAGGCCCAGGTGGCCAGGTGTTCTGCTCATGGGAAGCATTGCTCAACTGTCTTCACTGCTGGAAGGTGGCTGCATCCAATGTTGGAAAGAGCGAGCGAGTGAACGCTTGAGCGTTGGCGAGGGATCGAGTGTTGGGGCCGGGGATCGAGCATTGGGGTGAGCAAGCGAATAGTCTGGTGTTCAATGGGAGCGACAGAGTGTTGGGGGGAGCGAGCGAGTTGAGCGAGCGCCGCCTACTTGAGCAGGGACTTGGGTGGGAAGGCGAACTCTCCGAACGAGATGGTGTCGATGAAGTTGAGCGGCACGCGCCGTGCACTCTCGCAGCGCAGCGTCACGAAGTCGTACTTGACGATGAGCAGAGAGCGCTCGGACAGGCACACAATCCGCTCGCGCTCGTTGTTCCAGTGGTCCACCCTGCAGGTGCGGAATAAAAACATTTTAAACGGGGAAGAAAAACCTGCGAACGCTTTGGATTTCTGCAAATGCTCACCGATATGAGTTTGTCCATGCAAGTCATTAATGAGCGATAATTATGACGTCACGCGCAATGACGTCGTCGGGAGCGGAGGTGCACACTTGAAGCGTGATGCCGTGAGATGTCACACATGATGATGTCATGGCAGGCTAGCCCACGGCAAGTGACATCGCATTTGCCGAGGGCTTGGCCATTATCACTTTTTTTATCAGCACGTTTATTTCGTAACAGAATAATCATTACTGATTATAAAAATGGTAATGATTAATCGACTAATTTGCAGTTGAAGGACTTCAAAGTAAATCTTTATTCATGGAGGTGCAGCAAAGCACCAGTACATTACGATAAAAATGCACATACAAAGTTATTGGAAACTGACATTATAATAATTGTCGTATCTTGAACCTTGATAACGAATCGTACTGTGAAAATGTATATTGTGCCAACCCAAAGTGGACAGTGGTGAGGACGAAGAGAAACTCCGTTTCCACTGACACATCAGAGCCTCGCAAGCATAGGGACCCCCTCAGAGTATGGGTGGTTTTCCACCCGTACTGTGAGCCGAGCCAAATCCAAACCAGGAAAACTCTGGCCTCACAAGACATCTGGTTCATGGTCAAGTTAGGTCAGGGATAGGATTCCTAATTTTAGTCAAGTTGCGTGCGTTAGCAAATTTGAGCGTGTGAAGCTGTCATCACTCACATTTTTAACCACAATTCCTTGACGATCTCGTCAAGGAATATAAACTGTCACGCCAACTGCGGTCATCCTTGCAGCAGCGGCTTTTGGTTAGCCATCGAAGAAATACCTTTACCGCATTACGTGTTTTTGAATGCACTTCTGAGGCCGTCTGGAACGCTCTTCTTCCCGATATTAGGAAGCCACTGGAACTATGCACTTTTAAGTCATCTAGATTGAAAAACTAATTTCTTTAAAACTGCTTTTTGTGTGTTTGTTGCCCTTCCCACGCACCTCTGATTAGCGTGGTTGGCTACGTACGGTGCTAAAAAGTTCAACGTACACACAAACATTGTGCGTGACATTAGAGGTACGGCTCGGCTTCTGCAGTGAAAAAAAAAACCCGAGGACCTCTGAGAGCCACGCCGGGGCCGGCGTTAGTACGGCCCTGGCATGGGTCAGTTGTGCAGTGGAAAAGAAAGGAGGGGAGCTAAAGTGAAGTCTGGTGTTGAGCTCACTCTGCCAGGAGCCAGACGCTTTGTATCTCCCCGTCGTCCACGGTGTGCAAGACGGATACTTTGATGTCGTTCACTGCTTGCTCGAATGCTCCAGGCTGCGAAGTAGACAAAAAGCAACACAAACATATGTTTCGTAAATATATTTAGCTACAACATTCGAAACTTTTAAAATATTCTTTACGACCGAGTACGTGTTATTATTGTTATATAACGTGCTGCGTTACAATCACCGTGATTTAACACGGAGGCTTTCGCGACCAATTTAACACATAGGCTTATTAACAACTCTGGCTGTCGCCTGATGAGGCTGGTTCTAAATACCGGTGAAACGTCACTCAAATTATCAATGTTGTGGGATTGCTCTCTAACACACAACGGTGTGCTGAACTAGTAACGAATTGGCATGTTTTGTTTAATTGACAAACCTTATTAATTTGTGTCGGGTGGTGGCGGGTTTAACGACACATGAATATTTACGTGATCTAACCCAAAAAAAACTCCTATGGAAACACTGTGCTGTACACGAATGAAGACAAATATAACCTATAAAGAGATAAAGTTACATTATATATAACATACTAGATGTATACAATAGGGAAGAACCAACCCTCCTGCCTAGTGATTCGATTAACTCTCCCGATTCGAATCAATAAGTTATTATTTTAACACTGGTGAATGTAGCGGCCACTAGTGGCTGCAGGGGTCACCTACGAATCGTGGTTGGCTTCGTACGGTGCAAAGTCCAACATACATACAACTACACACAATTGCACAAAATACACAGATCGTACACATCGATTCTTACACACGCACAATTAGGTCAACATATCGCGGTAACTTAACAATTGATAGTAACTGACGTCTAATACACAGGAAAACGTGCATGCATTGCACATCGGTGATTTATGGACAGCCGAAAGCTCAATTGAGATCATAGAATCGGTCGTCCCGTCATGTCAGGTGGCACTATCACGTGCCGTGTCATCACCATACTGCGTGTATAATGCACACAGCCTTGTTTTAGACCGTCCAGCTAAAGCGAGTCAAGAATATGGCCAAATCCGTTTTGAACAGTCGCAGGACAATGACTTGACTGTATTACGGTTTTCATCCTTGTTATGAATCATCCCCACAGTTTAGCCATCACTGCCTATTGCTGCCTTGTACCTCAGGGGCTTGATGTGAATAATCCCTCCTGACGTAAACAAGCGGCTGTTTGGTGATGTGACATGCAAGACATGAATGAGAAGACCGATCCCATGGTCACAATCTCGCCTCGTGTCGTCTATAAATGAGCTTTTCCGCGTGTATTTATTATAATTTGATACCATCCTGCACAAATCGTTATGTCTGAGGAGTTTAAGCATGTACCTATGAACTTCTTTCGCACCGTACGTGGCCAACCTTGCTAATCTGAGGTGCAAGAGTGTTTTGTGACTTTTACAGAAGGTGTTAGAATTGGAACAAAGTATTGCATACGCCAAACTGTACATTCACAGTGCAAGACATCGCCTCCCAGCGCACGCATTTCCCAAGCATGAGCGGTGCCATGCCGATGGCCATTTTTGGAGTACAGTACATGCAAATCATGCTTGCCCTGGCGGGTTACACTGCATTTACAGATTAAAAGTGTGGTCCCCACTCCGAGTCACCACAGCCACCGCACACATTCTCAAGGAGGGGCACGTGTGTATTACGTTTCCACGGTGCACCATAGGTCACACACAAGTGCCCGACATGCACCGATAATTCGGCGAGCAAACAAACCATTGGTTATGATCGCGTACGTGGAACTAACATTGGGCCTAAATGTAAGCTTGGCATGTGCTGCCTGCTGTACAAATGAGGTAGAACAAATGGCAAAAAATATATAAAAATACAAACGAGATTAAAATGATGCTTCTTGAATAAAAACACTACCACGAACCATGACAATCATTAAACTGCTCGGGGGGTGAATTGTTACATGCTCCTATTTGTGTTAGGTGATGCATTGTGTCAGTTGGGGGTCCGTAACCAGTGGTGTTAATTCCATGTTCCTATGGCAAAAAACACTCCCTCATATTATAGTCGACCCTGAGGTGATGTCGGCGCTGTGTTGACGACCACTATTGATTTCCTACTAATGCTGCGGCCTAAAAACCATCGATGGTTTATCCAGGAAAGCCACACCAAGCCTCACGAATCAAGACCACACACACGAGGTTGTGATACTCGGCACTGCCAACTGCTGCGCACACCTCACAGCCAAAGCCTACAACACCTGGCAAGCCCTGGTGGTCGCCCATCCAAAAGCTTACTAGGTGCAAGCCTGCTTGGCTTCCGAGATCCAATGAGAAGTTGCCATTGTAAAATGAGTATTTTTATTTCAACCGTTATAAATCCAAATTGTATTGTAAACGATAGCAGGACAAGAAGAGTCCCAAATAATTATTATAATTGATTATTTATACCGTACCTCCCAAGCACAACATCTTGAGTAACAGAAATAAAATACCGTATGACACAAACCATCTAAAATGAAACCACTACTAATGGGGGGGGGGGGGGGTCCATTTATATGCACTATTGTAGATGCGCCAGCTCCTCAATTAAGACTCAACAACAGGTTCAAGAATTTAGATAAAAAGCGGCCCTGGCTGGGCGGAAAAATCGCGGGCAGCAAGTGCGCCACCACTGCGTAGCTTTTAACGGCGTGATGGCCCAAGTTTCGCGCCACGTGCCGAGTACCGAAGCTCCAATCGGACATTTGGCGGAGTGAAACGTGAAGACTGAAGAAGCTCCCAGCGCATGGAGCCAATCGTCGGACAGGTTAAACAACACGTGTTACTGGCATATATATGTAGCCCGCTTGCCAAATGGTAATCCATTGCTGGTTGCAGTTGCCGCAATGCTGAAGGCTACATTATCTTAAATAAAATGATCGCTGACTTTTGCAACAATTACCCAATTGTGAAAAGTGCAGCGCTGCTGGATCCTTGGCATTGTCCTTGGCGTTTAACACGCGTGGGGCGATGTGCACGGAACAGCATCCCCTTACAAGTGCCCCCCATTAGACACACACTTGGGAGTGTCGGGTGTCTTGACTGTCTGACTGGGCGCTTTGTCTACACAACAAATGTTTATGAAATCCATACTTCATTCGACAACTTGTGCCTCCACTACAGCAAGGCAGATATTGTTAGAGACTTCACTCGATGAATCTGGCCCAGACTTTCAAGTCAATAATGGTGCAGCCATTCCAATACCAACATAAAACACCGAGATATCACTGCCGAGGTTCTGGGTTTAACCCCAGTGATATAATTCAGGTTTTCAGGTGTAAGAAGTTGTAATGTCAGCCAGGTGACCAACGCCTGCAGAAAGAATGTAAAATATAAGATTTGGTCTTTATTCGGCTTGTTCTGGCGTTGAGAATAAAAAAAAATTATACTGGTAGGAACCTCCTGGTTACACCAGCCCACAGGGGATTATTGTGTCCGTCCGTCCGTCGTGCATCCAAAAATGGGAGGGGCTGGGTGGGGAGGGGCTGGTCACCCCGTGGTGCCCTTATAAAACTCAACATTTAACCTACTCACGCCGGCTTGTGCCCGCCCTCCCAGTCGGGCATATTTGCGGAATACACTACGCCACCGTTGACCGAGCAACCCAACGTTCCTACCAGCTCCCTCCGCAGGAATGTTTCATTGATTAGCAATTGGCCAGGTGGCTCAGGGTGCTAATACCATGTCAGAGATATAATCCAGCACTGCTTAAGTCTTTTAATTAAATCTGGGCAACAACTCGTGTATTATACTAGATTCTCAAGTAGACCTTTTGATGTACAAAAAATACCATCATAATACATTATTTTTTATTATATAATTGAGAGTTAAAACAATTTGGTGTGTTTGCCATGTGGCCAACGCTCCTTGCAGGGCATAGAAATAATGAGAACGTCGTGAATAATATAAGAGGCCTAGTGAGAAACGGTTTCAGAAGCGGTGGTCATTCTCTGACACAGTGGAGCGCTTCTCGCAAGAGTTCTGAATGGACATTTGAATCATTTGGCGGGACCCTGGGGTCCCGCAAAAATCAGGTCAATAATGATTATTTTTCAGTCCGCCCACTCGTGATCCCGACAGCAAACGCGCTGCCCGCCCAGACTCGCGCCAACAAGCGCCAGCAGGCGGCGATCAACACAATGGGCGCCACCCCACCGGCCAAACGCGAGCCCCGGGGGGCGTCCGCCGCAGTCGCGCGCGCGGCGACGACGCCCTCCGGTCAGCCGTCGATCTTCAGCTTCTTTGCCAAGGCGAGCCCGCCCCCGCAGTGAATTTAACGTGTTTATGTAATTTTCAACTTTTTACGAGACTTTGTGCCCCGAGTAGCTCTCGACGAGGCCAATCGATTGACCACTAGTTTTGTTGTCGGTAAGGCAAGACTCGTGTCGCTACGCGGTTTTTCCCACCCCGGGGCAGTGATGGGACCCCGGGGTCCCGCCAATTGCTTCATTTGGTTATCTTATGACATGACTAACATCAACATTTGTGCTCACTTGGGATAATACAATTTTTAAAGAAGTGCATTGCATATTTATTGCCTCATTCGGATGTGTCACTGAGATACCGTCACACCTACTAGAGGCCCTTCCACAATCAAGTGGAATGAGCAAGAAATTGCAAGGCTGCACCTTTACCCATTTGGGCTCATCCACGCTTCTTCGCGTGTGCAAGAGCAGTGAAATGTGCGTACGAACATGGTTAATAGGATCCATATCACAGTTCTCCCGATACCAGCATGGGATTTGAAGAGTTGTGCTGTAAATCCTGACGTTTTATTAGTTTGTGTCAGATCAGGAAAGTAAAATTACGCGACCTGAAATAAAAATCAATCGCATATCATATTGGTCACGAAGGCTTACTGTTAAATTTACTGTAAATCATGTTTGCTCTTCATCAAAGTAGGTGAAACTTGTGGGCAGCTAAACTTGCTTAAGTGACACCACACGTGTTTAACGTCAACCACGACTATTTAAAGAGTGTCCCTGGCACTATTCAAACTAGCCCTGGAAGCTGTCACTATATATTATTTTAATGATCCCGTGGACTGCGTGACTGATAAGTGGGCGTTGTGGGGGGGTGATGTCACCCACCACCTGCCTGCCTTTTGCTGCTCACACCATACTGCACCTCGTCGAATTGCGACATCGTTGTTCAGACCCACAGGTTTGAGTTTATGTAAGCGCTGCAAATGTTGCAAAACAAAAAAAGATATCACGAGATCGTGAGGCATCATAAAGTAAGACGAGCGTGCAGCTCTGCAATGACTTGCTCACGCCAAAAGCGGGGGACGGGCCTCCACTCTCCATGATGGCCTGACGTTTTGAAAGAGGTGGACGTATCCACACGTTTACCCCACCACACGTGACGAACTCATGACACATCATGCTTTTGCAAACATGCCAGGTCTCGTCTGCAAAAGAGAATACTGTATACGTATTTATGAGTTCTAGAATTTAATAAACAACTTTGGTTAATAAAACGATGTTATTTCAATGCAACCACCATGGGGAGAGAGAACACGTAAACCCCTAATATAATGCAGGCATCGTCAGGGTCGTTTTCGAACATACGACCTCTGCCGCACCGGTGATGTTTTCTCCCTCGACTGCTTTACCCAGGAGTGGGTCATTTAGTCTCAAGGCTATCTTGGGCACTCAATCTTGCGTTGAATTTTTTTAGATGGGGTCCTTGCATTGGAATGTTTAACCAATACAATTAATGACACTGGAGAAACACCATGTGTAAGAGGGGAGTCACAATACAGCCATCTCACAGCCCACCCTCCCAAAAACAACATCCAAGAACTTACCAGGCTTCACTTCTGCTTATCTTCTGAAATATGACATGATCAAGGCAGACATTTTAACACGTAGGCTTTCGCGACCAATATCATCCATAATACAGGTTTTGTGGGGTTAGATAACCGTAAATATGAATGTCGTTAAACCCGCCAAGACCCGACACGGCCAATTAGTAAGGTTTGTCACGTAAATAGAACATGCCAATTCGTTACTAGTACAGCACACTGGTGTGTTGGAGAGCAAATCCACAGTTTGAATGATATTGTTATTTACAATCAGATTTAACCCAAAAAAACCCTGTATTATGGAGGGCAGACATTATCATTCACCTGCTGGCTGTACCTATTTAACACTTGGCATGCAAACCGAAATTGGCATATCGGCAGGATGAAGGCAGTCCAGTATATGCAACCATGCAGTTGGGAGGTAAAAAAAACATAAAGCCATCCAATCAAGTGCTCGTTAACTAAATGGAGTGGATTTGTCAAAGTAAAGTACTGGAATAGGATTACAGATAAGAGGATATTAAGAGAGTAAATAGCATGGACTATATCCACACTGCATTGCACAATGTGCATTGTAGAGTGCAGATTAGATCGGTAAGTGGATTAAAAACATACAAAAGAAAATTATTAAGAGACATGTTTTGAGTGTGGTGGTGGCGTTGATGCACATTTGTAATTACCAGCATCTTGGAAGTGGGATTGGTGGATAACGTATTGTGTTAGAGCATGTTTCATACAAAAAGACAACACAAAGATCCCCCCGTATAGCCTTAATAGCCTGTAGGGGCAAGTGCTGTTAGCGAGCACCGATGAAGGCCGGCACGGCACACGAGGGGATGTGGGGTGGCCAGCACCACGCCCGACCGCATTTGTACTCATTCGAGGCTGAGTCGACCTAGGGGAGGCCCAGGACCGGTTCAGATAATCCATCACTGGCGTCGGCCGTGAGCGGGAATGGAACTCGGGCCGTCGGGTTCGTAACGCAGCGCGCTAACCGCTACACCACCGCTCACACATCCGTGGGGCAATGCAGTACCGTGGTGGCATTTGGAACGAGTACAGCCAGAAGACCACGACCTATGCAGTGGTATCCCACTACCAGTGTAGCAGAATGTCATTGTGGGTTTCTACAGGAACCATGGTTTCCTTCCACACGCAAGAAAGCACACAACGTTTGGGTAAAAGCGTGAAAACTCGCGAAAAATGAATCTTGTGATTACAGCTTGTCCAGAAAAAAAACACAAAGAAAGTAATTAAGTACGATCACATCACATTATACGGGTGGGCGCTTACGATGGCAGCGTTACGACCACAACATACACAGCGGCAGACGCGATGAAGCAACGAGTCTCTCTCTCTCTTGTTAGGCTTTGGGTTTGGTTGCTAAAAACACATCGGAACCAGCACTTTCAATGTTGGCTTCCCAAACACACGCCACACCTAAATAACGACCCTCGCGAGCACGGTTGGGACTAAGCAAACTTGTAAAGTGAACAAAAGGAAAAGTAAAAAAAGGAATTCTGTCCTTTATTGTGCGATTAATGTAAACACAGCCGATGGCTTGAGATGGGGGGGGGTCGAGCATATGATTAACCGATAACGGTAAGGGTTATATTCAAAGGTTTATTTAGGGGTTGTGTTTGGTTAATGGTAGGGGTAGTATAAGGGTTTGGAATAGCTATGGTTAGTGGTAGGGTTAATGTTACCTGTGGTGAGAAGCTAGCTATGACTAAAGTTAGGGTGGTGAGGGATAGTTCTGGTTAAAGTTGGCAAAAGATGTTTGCTATTAGTAGGGTTAGGAGTAGTTATGGTTTTAGGTAGGGTTAAGAAAAAATTTCCAGGTGGGATTAGGGGCAACTGTGGCTATATGTAGGGTTAGTGATCGCGTTGCTTATACAATTAAAAATATTTAGTCATACTGCGCTGGCAGTGTTGCACAATCACCAACAACGAGTACAACTCAACCAACTCGTTTTGGATATAATTATGTAGGGAGGGAGTGGTAAAGTTATGAATATCCGTTATGGATGTGGCAAGGGTTAGATGTACATGAAGCTAAAGTTACAAGTTATGGGTAGGGGCTGAGGGTGTAGCCATGGTTAAAGGCAGGGTTAAAGATACAACTGTATTGTTACAATTATGATGAGAGATAGCATAGAGACAGCTATGTCTATATAAGTAACAACTCAACACATTCATCAAACAATGTATGAATAGAAGTCGAGTTGTGGAAGGTTCAACTTGGGTTACAAGTCAGACACTTTAAAGGCGTGGGTAATCACGAGCTTTAACAATCATCAAGTGGCATACAGCTTGGGCATAGCACCAGAGCGACAATTCAGATAGAAATAGTTTGCTTGCTTTTTTTGGATTAGTAAGAAGTGGAAATCTTAAAGTACCAGCGGTGTGTGGCGTACTCTGATGAAATGACTTTTGCTGGGATGGTGCATTCCATTCAGCGCGAGTTAAACGACCACTTAATCCATTAATAAGCCACCGTGTCGAGAACCATTTATATAATTTCCTTCAAGATGACACGACTCATTCGTCTTAAATTACAGCATTGGGAAGATGTGTCAGATGGTTCCTGTTACGTTGCCCAATTTGTGGTTATTTTATTCCACGGCACAATCTACAACACGACAGAGCGGCGTTAACAGCTTACCCCACAGTATACAGTGCAGATTGTGTTACAATGTAGTGTCAATGACACATTTGGTATGTTGTACTTAACACCACAATGTTGGTATTGAATACAAACACACACACACCGATGTCACCCAACAACGGCACAGTTGAACCTGCCGCATTTAATCGTTTCAATTATTTATCCAGAAAAGCGTTAAATTTCAACTCGCGTAAAGATAATCAAATGACTAGTTGCTATTAGGCAAATACCCTATTATAAAAAAAACGGCCAAGTGTTGCCTATAACTTTTATGGACTCAAACCAAGCAATAAAGGACCGGCGTTGGCCCTCTCCGCCCTGCCGGCCGAGGCGCGCCCTGCCCGGTAGAGCCGCTATCCGACCACCGTAGTCTCATCGCGGCCTAGGGACCCGTACTACTTCCTGCACGCCTATCGCGGATGCAACCGTTAAAAAAATCGCTAATACTTAATAGAGATTAAACAAAAACACCGCGTGTTGCAAAGCGTTAAAACTATGCTGAAACACTTTGTCCAATATAAAAGTTTAGATTTTCTTTACGTTGACGGTAGGAGTGTCATTCGAAATCAATGGGATGTCTATGTATGGATCGCCTTATAGAAGTATAAAAAACATCTTCACCGTATTCGTCAATAACAGAGCCTTGAAACGGAATGTATACAACTGGTATATAATAGTATATCCTTTCAAGGCACTTTTATTGACAAAGGTGTTGATTTTAGTTAACTTACGCGTGCGCACCACTGCAAACGCGTGGATCACCGAACACCGCGTTCACAGAGTATCAATAGCCACAATTAGCGACTTGCGATCGTGCACGCCGCGAACACACGCAAGGGTGAACAACATGCAAAAGGGACACCCACCCTGAAGACGAAGAAATTGCGAAGTCTGTAGTCCTGCACGGTCTTCTCGTCGATCACCGCATTCTCCCGGTCGGGCCCACCGCCCAACGCCACTCCCGCCGCCGTGACCCCCCCGGCCGCCGGCCCCGGGGTGGAACTTCCCGCACCCGCCGGACTAGACCCGCCGCCTTGCCCGGCTTGGGGGTCGTCCCCGAGTGCCACCTCTTCACCATCTTCATGCTTCTCCATCTTCTTCTTCTTCTTGTCCTCCTCCTCCTGTTGCTTCTTCTCGGCCGCTTGCCTCTTTGCCACGTCGCCCAAGGCGTCCGCCTTCATGTCAGCGGGTTCCATCATGACCGATGGTGTCCCTGGGTGGTAGCTTCTATGAGCTAACGCGTGTGCTGTGCACGCCCCGCTGGTGTGTTGCGTACGTATCGCTGTGTTTATGCTTTGTTAAGTTGTTAAGTTAGGCATGCAGTGAGAGACGGGGGGAGGGGTGGGGAAGCAAGTGTTACTGTTGTTGACGATGTGCGTTTCAGAGCTGTTGCACGTGCCGTTGAGTTAGTTCGCTGCGAAGATCGGGGTGTGTGTGTGTGCGTGCGTTCTGGCGAGGTTATTACGCTGCAATGCAGACGACGAGCGAACAGCTGCGCAGTGAGAAATGCCGAGCTGGGGTGGTGGTGTTGGTGGTGGTGTTGTTGTTGGTGGTGGTGGGGTTGGGGAGTGATGCCAACGTCACCGCGTGCGTGTTCCGGGTTCTGTTTGCACGTGCACGCACCCCGGCGTTGTGTGTCACGCGCGCGCAGTCCACACGCGGCCCGGTGCGTGCCTGGGTGCAGCTTCCTGCGACGTCGGGTGGCTGTGGATGTGTGTGGACGTGGTGAGTGTGTGTGGATGTGGTGAGTGTGTGTGTGTGGTGAGTGTGTTGTGTGTGTGGATGTGGTGAGTGTGTGGATGTGGATGTGGTGAGTGTGTGTGGTGAGTGTGTGTGCGTGGATGTGGTGTGTGTGTGCGTGGATGTGGTGAGTGTGTGGGTGTGGTGAGTGTGTTGTGTGTGTGGGTGTGGTGAGTGTGTGTGTGTGGATGTGGTGAGTGTGTGGGTGTGGTCAGTGTGTGTGGGTGTGGTGAGTGTGTGTGTGTGGGTGTGGTGAGTGTGTGTGTGTGGATGTGGTGAGTGTGTTGTGTGTGTGGATGTGGTGAGTGTGTGTGTGTGGATGTGGTGAGTGTGTGTGTGTGGATGTGGTTAGTGTGTGTGTGTGGATGTGGTGAGTGTGTGTGTGTGGATGTGGTGAGTGTGTGTGTGTGGATGTGGTGAGTGTGTGTGTGTGGATGTGGTGAGTGTGTGTGGCTGTGGATGTGTGTGGACGTGGTGAGTGTGTGTGTGGACGTGGTGAGTGTGTGTGTGTGGATGTGGTGAGTGTGTGTGTGGGGATGTGGTGAGTGTGTGTGTATGTGGTGTGTGTGTGGATGTGGTGTGTGTGTGGACGTGGTGAGTGTGTGTGTGTGGATGTGGTGAGTGTGTGTGTGCGTGGATGTGGTGAGTGTGTGTGCGTGGATGTGGTGAGTGTGTGTGCATGGATGTGGTGAGTGTGTGTGTGGATGTGGTGAGTGTTGTACGTGGATGTGGTGAGTGTGTGTGCATGGATGTGGCGAGTGTGTGTGCATGGATGTGGCGAGTGTGTGTGTGGATGTAGTGAGTGTGTGTGTATGTGGTGAGTGTGTGTATGTGGTGAGTGTGTGTGTGTGGATGTGGTGAGTGTTGTGCATGGATGTGGTGAGTGTGTGTGCATGGATGTGGTGAGTGTGTGTGTGGATGTGGTGAGTGTGTGTGTGGATGTGGTGAGTGTGTGTGCGTGGATGCGGTGAGTGTGTGTGCATGGATGTGGTGAGTGTGTGTGCATGGATGTGGTGAGTGTGTGTGTGCATGGATGTGGTGAGTGTGCATGGATGTGGTGAGTGTTGTGCGTGGATGTGGTGAGTGTGTGTGCGTGGATGTGGTGAGTGTGTGTGCGTGGATGTGGTGAGTGTGTGTGCGTGGATGTGGTGAGTGTGTGTGCGTGGATGTGGTGAGTGTGTGTGGCTGTGGATGTGTGTGGACGTGGTGAGTGTGTGTGTGTGGATGTGGTGAGTGTGTGTGTGTGTGGATGTGGTGAGTGTGTGTGTGGATGTGGTGAGTGTGTGTGCATGGATGTGGTGAGTGTGTGTGCGTGGATGTGGTGAGTGTGTGTGCATGGATGTGGTGAGTGTGTGTGTGGATGTGGTGAGTGTGTGTGGATGTGGTGAGTGTGTGTGGATGTGGTGAGTGTGTGTGCATGGATGTGGTGAGTGTTGTGCGTGGATGTGGTGAGTGTTGTGCGTGGATGTGGTGAGTGTTGTGCGTGGATGTGGTGAGTGTGTGCGTGTGGATGTGGTGAGTGTGTGCGTGTGGATGTGGTGAGTGTGGATGTGGTGAGTGTGTGTGTGTGTGTGGATGTGGTGAGTGTGTGTGTGTGGATGTGGTGAGTGTTGTGCATGGATGTGGTGAGTGTGTGTGCATGGATGTGGTGAGTGTGTGTGTGGATGTGGTGAGTGTGTGTGTGTGGATGTGGTGAGTGTGTGTGTGTGGATGTGGTGAGTGTGTGTGGATGTGGTGAGTGTGTGTGTGTGTATGTGGTGAGTGTGTATGTGGTGAGTGTGTGTGTGTGGTGAGTGTGTGTGTGTGGATGTGGTGAGTGTGTGTGTGTGGATGTGGTGAGTGTGTGTGCGTGGATGTGGTGAGTGTGTGTGCATGGATGTGGTGAGAGTGTGTGCATGGATGTGGTGAGTGTGTGTGTATGTGGTGAGTGTGTATGTGGTGAGTGTGTGTGTGTGGATGTGGTGAGTGTGTGTGGATGTGGTGTGTGTGTGTGTGGATGTGGTGAGTGTGTGTGCATGGATGTGGTGAGTGTGTGTGTGTGGATGTGGTGAGTGTTGTGCGTGGATGTGGTGAGTGTGTGTGCATGGATGTGGTGAGTGTGTGTGTGTGGATGTGGTGAGTGTTGTGCGTGGATGTGGTGAGTGTGTGTGCGTGGATGTGGTGAGTGTTGTGCGTGGATGTGGTGAGTGTATGTGCGTGGATGTGGTGAGTGTTGTGCTTGGATGTGGTGAGTGTGTGCGTGGATGTGGTGGATGTGGTGAGTGTGTGTGCGTGGATGTGGTGAGTGTGTGTGCGTGGATGTGGTGAGGGTGTGTGCGTGGATGTGGTGAGTGTGTGTGTGTGGATGTGGTGAGTGTGTGTGCGTGGATGTGGTGAGTGTGTGTGCGTGGATGTGGTGAGTGTGTGTGCGTGGATGTGGTGAGTGTTGTGCGTGGATGTGGTGAGTGTTGTGCGTGGATGTGGTGAGTGTGTGCATGGATGTGGTGAGTGTGTGTGTGTGTCGATGTGGTGAGTGTGTGTGTGTGGATGTGGTGAGTGTGTGTGTGTGGATGTGGTGAGTGTTGTGCATGGATGTGGTGAGTGTGTGTGCATGGATGTGGTGAGTGTGTGTGTGGATGTGGTGAGTGTGTGTGTGTGGATGTGGTGAGTGTGTGTGTGTGGATGTGGTGAGTGTGTGTGTGGATGTGGTGAGTGTGTGTGTGTGGATGTGGTGAGTGTGTGTGTGGATGTGGTGAGTGTGTGTGCGTGGATGTGGTGAGTGTTGTGCGTGGATGTGGTGAGTGTGTGCATGGATGTGGTGAGTGTGTGTGCATGGATGTGGTGAGTGTGTGTGTGGATGTGGTGAGTGTGTGTGTGTGGATGTGGTGAGTGTGTGTGTGTGGATGTGGTGAGTGTGTGTGTGTGGATGTGGTGAGTGTGTGTGTGTGTGTATGTGGTGAGTGTGTATGTGGTGAGTGTGTGTGTGTGGATGTGGGAGTGTGTGTGCGTGGATGTGGTGAGTGTGTGTGCGTGGATGTGGTGAGTGTGTGTGCATGGATGTGGTGAGTGTGTGTGCATGGATGTGGTGAGTGTGTGTGTATGTGGTGAGTGTGTATGTGGTGAGTGTGTGTGTGTGGATGTGGTGAGTGTGTGTGTGTGGATGTGGTGAGTGTGTGTGTGTGGATGTGGTGAGTGTGTGTGCATGGATGTGGTGAGTGTGTGTGTGGATGTGGTGAGTGTTGTGCGTGGATGTGGTGAGTGTGTGTGCATGGATGTGGTGAGTGTGTGTGCATGGATGTGGTGAGTGTGTGTGTGGATGTGGTGAGTGTTGTGCGTGGATGTGGTGAGTGTGTGTGCGTGGATGTGGTGAGTGTTGTGCGTGGATGTGGTGAGTGTATGTGCGTGGATGTGGTGAGTGTTGTGCGTGGATGTGGTGAGTGTGTGTGTGTGGATGTGGTGAGTGTGTGTGTGTGGATGTGGTGAGTGTGTGTGGATGTGGTGAGTGTGTGTGTGTGGATGTGGTGAGTGTGTGCGTGTGGATGTGGTGAGTGTGTGTGTGTGGATGTGGTGAGTGTTGTGCGTGTGGATGTGGTGAGTGTGTGTGCATGGATGTGGTGAGTGTGTGTGTGGATGTGGTGAGTGTGTGTGTGGATGTGGTGAGTGTGTGTGTGTGGATGTGGTGAGTGTGTGTGTGTGGATGTGGTGAGTGTGTGTGTGTGGATGTGGTGAGTGTGTGTGTGTGGATGTGGTGAGTGTGTGTGTGGATGTGGTGAGTGTGTGTGTGTGGATGTGGTGTGTGTGTGTGGATGTGGTGAGTGTTGTGCATGGATGTGGTGAGTGTGTGTGCATGGATGTGGTGAGTGTGTGTGTGGATGTGGTGAGGGTGTGTGTGTGGATGTGGTGAGTGTGTGTGTGGATGTGGTGAGTGTGTGTGTGTGGATGTGGTGAGTGTGTGTGTGGATGTGGTGAGTGTGTGTGCGTGGATGTGGTGAGTGTTGTGCGTGGATGTGGTGAGTGTTGTGCGTGGATGTGGTGAGTGTGTGCATGGATGTGGTGAGTGTGTGTGCATGGATGTGGTGAGTGTGTGTGTGGATGTGGTGAGTGTGTGTGTGTGGATGTGGTGAGTGTGTGTGTGTGGATGTGGTGAGTGTGTGTGTGTGGATGTGGTGAGTGTGTGTGTGTGTGTATGTGGTGAGTGTGTATGTGGTGAGTGTGTGTGTGTGTGGATGTGGGAGTGTGTGTGCGTGGATGTGGTGAGTGTGTGTGCGTGGATGTGGTGAGTGTGTGTGCATGGATGTGGTGAGTGTGTGTGCATGGATGTGGTGAGTGTGTGTGTATGTGGTGAGTGTGTATGTGGTGAGTGTGTGTGTGTGGATGTGGTGAGTGTGTGTGTGTGGATGTGGTGAGTGTGTGTGTGTGGATGTGGTGAGTGTGTGTGCATGGATGTGGTGAGTGTGTGTGTGGATGTGGTGAGTGTTGTGCGTGGATGTGGTGAGTGTGTGTGCATGGATGTGGTGAGTGTGTGTGCATGGATGTGGTGAGTGTGTGTGTGGATGTGGTGAGTGTTGTGCGTGGATGTGGTGAGTGTGTGTGCGTGGATGTGGTGAGTGTTGTGCGTGGATGTGGTGAGTGTATGTGCGTGGATGTGGTGAGTGTTGTGCGTGGATGTGGTGAGTGTGTGTGTGTGGATGTGGTGAGTGTGTGTGTGTGGATGTGGTGAGTGTGTGCGTGTGGATGTGGTGAGTGTGTGTGCATGGATGTGGTGAGTGTGTGTGCATGGATGTGGTGAGTGTGTGTGTGGATGTGGTGAGTGTGTGTGTGGATGTGGTGAGTGTGTGTGTGTGGATGTGGTGAGTGTTGTGCGCGTGGATGTGGTGAGTGTGTGTGCGTGGATGTGGTGAGTGTGTGTGTGGATGTGGTGAGTGTTGTGCGTGGATGTGGTGAGTGTGTGTGTGTGTGGATGTGGTGAGTGTTGTG